AGAACCTCCATCCCATGACGACGGCGAGGACAAGAACATCGACAACGAAAACAGCAGCACACGACCATTACCAACATGCCTAGGACCGAAGAGCGGTGTCGTCTTGGTAACACATACTCGTCGTGTTACTGGGGGACAAAAAGGCATGCGATGACGCGGACAGCGGCATCCTGACACTGGCTGACACTGGTTGACACTGGGTTTATCACTCTCACAAGGTCTGGACCTGGAATCTGGGTACCTACTTTGCCCATCGGTGTGCTGCTCCATGCAGTATCACGTCAACAAACTGCAGAAGTGGCCGATCAAGAAACCTGATCTCTTCGCTACCAGAAGCATCAGAAGCAAGCTCAGCCCAGTCAGCCGTCGAAACCATGCCCTGCGAACATTTCAAGAGACACGTTTGACCTCTGCCATGGGAAAAGCTGCGTCTGAAAACAACAGTGCTTGTCTGGGGCTGAAGCAACGCTGTGCCGTACCGTAGCACATGCCTCAACAAGCTTAAGTGTCTCAGGAGGGCGAGAGGGATGAAAAGGCACCCAAGGCAGCGAGGGAGGGTAACACGAACTCGGAGAGAAACCGGCGAGATGGAACGCGGACGGAATCCCGATCGCACCCCTTCCTTCTTTACACGCTAAAAAGAAGGTCTCCAGCCTTTCCGTCGTCTCGTTGTTCTCGAATAACTGGCCCTCCCTTCCCTTCCAGAGAGAGTCCCAGCCCCAGTCATTCCCCATTTGCCCATTTGACTCTCACATCTCATTGGACCCAGAGAAGTGTCTGACGTTCAGGAACCACTTGAACCAAACAAGCAACGAAAGCAGGACCAGGCACAAGGCAGGCATCTGGCATTCAGGTACGCCGCTTCGCTTCCTCCTCTGTCCTTGCATCACCCAGGTAGTCTAGGGCACACACCCATTTGGGCCATTCCGCCATAACCATCCATACGGAAGGGTGGATAAGAACATGGATGCAATGTTGCCCAGGCTGGCTCGGTCAGGCACCCGAACTCCGAATAGGGAACCTCACACGGGCACACAAGGCACACAAGGCACAGCACGACAAGGAGTTGGAGTTACAGAGACACCGGGCAAGGCGAAGGAGGGACGCATTCACACTCACGGCACTCACGGTTGGTATAACAGTATGACAGGGCACCGCACTTCGCTTGCCACACACGGGGCATTCACCGCCAACTCTCCCTCCCCTTCCCCGGCGCCTTGTCCCCATGGCACTTCATTGCTTGGTAGGTATACGGTTCCTGGACGGGCCCTTGCAAGCTGCTGCTGCCGGTGGCTCTGACTCAGAGCTTGTGAAGCTCTGGGTTTTGTGCAATGGTGATACTTATGGTGAGCTAGTAGGTAATAGGTCAGTTTATTGTTCCCATGACCTGGACCGGCAATTTGGCAAATATCATTATGAGATGCACATATAGGGTGGTATCATTCATCCGTCTAATCTGATTACACTACAACCCGTCAGCCCGTTGGCACCGAGAGGTATCGAACCGAGATATCCGGGCGTTTGTCGATGGATGGACATGCCACCGATGGGCCGCCGCCCAGGATCTTCGCATCGTACCTGAACTGGAATAAGGCGATTTGCCACTGCAGAGCCTCATGATGAGCACAATCAGATGCTAATCCCCTGTGGACAAAAAACAAGAGCAAGTAGATAAGACCATATCCTCCCGTCAAAACAGGGCAGCCCGAGACTGTCCGCCCCTAGGACCTATGGTAGAAGTGGAAAGACGCGGCCGTACCTAAGTGCCCTGTAAAATCCTGCCATTAACACATATGTGCATGAAACTACCTAGGAACAGGAACAGGAAAGGGGACGTAAAAAGTCTTTTGACCCCCCTGGCACTCCGGGCTGTGCCTGACAGACGCTGCGCCAGGCACAGGGCAATGCCAGGACAACATGTCAGGATAACCTGAAAATGGCCAGAAAACGCACACCACGGACATGAACTGGGGAATTGAGAGTGCATTTCGTTCCTGCGCCAGTGACTCTGCCCTGAATTTGGAAGAGCTGTTCACGGCACTCTGGGTCAGGTCCCGAGTCTCACGCCTCTCGGGTGCCACTATCGCCGCAAACGGCTTTTGTTCGGATTCACTGGATTGTCTCGAGTGCCGTTGAACTGTTAGCGGTACCATCTGCAGATTCCGCACTAACAAGCTTCATCAATCCGCTTTGGCTGTTGGGAATACTGTATGGGTCTTCCCGCCGATTCAGTGTCGATCAGTGAGCGCCGACATCATTTGAATCGTATTCTTTCACTCCATTGCCCATCCGTGAGAATGCGGAAATGGGGTTCGACACCTTGATGTCCTGTGTCGCTACAAGAATGCAGCACAAATGGGCAGCAACAAAGCGATTATCCTGTAGAAGCTTCCGTAAGCTAACAAACACACCCACACACTGACACAGCCCAGAGGCAATGCTGCTAGCGAAATGCCACCGACAACTTCTGGTAGGTAAATTCAACACCAACACCAACAGCAAGAACCCAAAAAGAATTATCGCATCCGCATCCCGACGACAACCCTCACGTTATCACACACAGACACAGTCACAGACATAACTCGCTGAGCCCCTCGTCTGGTGGATTTTTGTGAAACACCCTAAACATTCCAACCCCTAAACCCCTCCCTCGAACCCTCGTTTTCTTTGTTGACAGCTGAGAACCGAAAGTCTAAAAGAGAAGATCCAACCCCGCTCCCGGCTTCACATTGCCGCCCTTAATGTCTTGGCTTTCGATCCCTCTGCTGTGGTAGGTACCTAATACTACTCGTCCATCCACGCCGCCTGAAGCGGACAATTTGAACCTTAAACTTTCGTCAATTTTCTTTGTTCTTGAGAGTTCAAAAATGAAAAACAGAATTTTGAGTTGGGAAGCTGTGAAACCTTAACATGTTCACCCATAAACCCCAAATTGGAGCAAAACGTGCCCTTGAAGATTCACGAGTACTGAACTTTGAGCAACGGTACCCAAAAGGAAGCAAGCTGCAACGCCGTGGCTACGTAGGATCTAGAAGAGGTAAGGTATCAGGTGGAATCTATACTGCCGTTGCGTAAACATCTCGTTCCGTCTCATAACCAAAGTCACCATTGGTGCCTAGCATAATTCTCCACAATCTGAGCCCAAGCAAGGTACCCGTACAGCTCGATAACAACAATCCCAGGCAGTCAGGATACTTACTTCACTTTTGAACAAACAGTCAATACAAAGTCAGGTACTACGGTGCCGGGCTATTTACTCTTGTTGGGGTCACCTGTCCTGCCACCTGAATAACCTCAAACTTGGCTATCCACAGCATACGGGCGCTGACAGGCCAACAAGCTTCAGGCAAAGCGCTAACAGGAGGTGACAGACAGCCTAACTGATCCCATCCCATCCCATTGATTCCGAGATTCCATCGTCGACAGACTGGACACCACCACAATTGTCCGACTGGATAGGGATTCCATTGCATTGGTGGCATCCAGCCCGACCCCCCTTGATCGAGCAGTTCGCCATTAACAGCAAGGGCGGCAGCCATTACCAGTACTGCGTGGTGTACAGCTTTCATAGCTCACCATTCACCATTCACCATTCACCATTCACCACCAAGAAGAAAGAGGCAACTGTTTGGGAGGCTCCAAGCAATCAATCGTCGAGCTGCGACGTCAATCATCTGGCTGCCAGGATCACATCAATACAAGTAGGCGGCAGCGGCAGGACAGGAACGGAAAAAGTTAGGCCAGGGCCATAGATAGGTACCTACATTGCCACTTTCCCCTGTCTCCTGCACCACGCCTGTACCATTTCAAGGAACCCGCTTCGTCACAGGTGGTGCTTTTCTGCTTGGCTCGGGACCTGCTTTTGCCCTTTTATCTTGTAGCTTTGGCGTAGGTACGTCCATACATATGCGTATGCGTACTGCACTACAGCTGCCATTGCGTTGTTGGTTTTGGCCCTGCGCGCGCCCACTCTCGTCTTGCAGTGGTTGAAGGTTGGAACTGGAATGGACACACTGCACTTGCAAAAAAAGAGAAGGAACAAAAAAAGAGAAAATACCCCACTTGGGCCCCGGACGACATACGACATATCGACGACTGGATTTCTCTTGCCCATACTTATCCACCCCCGGCAAACCCATTCCATTCTCCACCGTGCCACCCACCAACCAGCACACTCAGAGAAGAGAGGCCCCAACAACCAAAGATCCTGTCAGCAGCAAATCATTACCACCATCACCAGTTGCACCCATTTCCGTCTTCATCATCCCTCTTGTTGTTGAACGCAGGCACCACCACCAAGACCACCAAGACCACACCAACACGACCACCACTACCACTTTCCAGACACTAACTCCACCAGGCCGACGACAAGTTCAATCTGACTGTTCGCGGCGCTTGACTTTTTTTTTCCAACTTTTTGTGATCAATATCACGACCACGACCAGGACGACGACTACGACTACCTCGGCCACTACCACCACCACCACCACCACCACACCACCATACCACGCCAACAATCACGGCATCGACAACAAGACACTTAACTCGAGTTTTGTACCCAAGGGAATTTGACAAAGATCGGCATTGCGCCCCTTTCTGTTCCCGCTCTGCCTCCGACCTCTTCCATTTCCATCCTAGCCCCAGTTACACACCCACTCTCAGTGCCTACCAGCCAGCCAGCTACCCTCCCAGTCACTTCTCAAACAAACGCTGCTTCCTCCCCGCACTTGACCCCTGCCGCGCGTGCCTTGACCTCAGCCTCATCACTTCCACTTCTTGCTGTGCTGTTGTTAGGCTTCGACTCGCTTCAGTCATCAGTTCCTGCTTCTTGTCACATCTCTTTGTCTTTTTCAACAAAACTGTCTCGGGTCCCTCGTTCCCCCCCTCCCCAATCCGCCTCTCGTCCCGAGTGCGCTCTTTCTTCCATCCCGTCTCGTCTTCAGCCCAGCAACACATCATAGCCGCCGTCGCCGCTGCCGCTGCCGCTGTCATCCATTATCATGGCCGGAACATTTCGTCCCGTCAACACGCCTCTGTCGCCCTCGGCCGACTCGCCAATGATGGACTCGACGACAACAACAATAACGTCACCAACTACCCCCAGACCTAGCACTGCCCCGAGTCAGTCGTCATCGTCCCAACGTTTGGACGACAACAATAACAACAACAACAACAACAACCCCGCGACGACGACACCCACCCGCACACCCAACTTTGGTGCCGGCGCATTGGCCTCGCAACAGCCGCTTCCCAACTCGCCCTTTCCCGACTCCGTTCAGCTCCCCGATATTACCGATCGTAGCAGCAGCATGCCCAGGCGAGAGAATTCGCAGCACTCACGCAAGTCCAAGGACTCTGACGAGATGGATATGGATGACTCGGAGGGCGAAGACGGTCACGCATCCGACGACGAGGAGATCAACGCAGATGGCACAAAGTCCAAGAAGAAGAAGTCGCAGAGGTTCTATTGCACAGATTACCCGCCATGTAACCTCAGTTTCACCAGAAGTGAACACCTGGCACGGCACATAAGGTACGCTACACTCAACCTCTTGACGGCACACAAGTAACGGTCGCTAACCCTACCATCACATCCAGGAAACACACTGGTGAGAGGCCGTTCCAGTGCCACTGCGGTCGCCGCTTCTCCCGCCTCGATAACCTCAGGCAGCATGCCCAAACTGTGCACGTCAACGAAGAGATTCCAGGGGACTCGCTCGCCGCCACCGGGACAAGATTTCAGAGGCAGATCAGGACAGACAGGGTGCGCCAAGCCGGTGGCAGGGCAAGGGCGGCTACCGCGGGTAGCGTTATGCCCGTCGTGCGTGGTCATTCCAAGTCCATGTCCACGTCAAGCATTCCCAACATCAGCCAGCTGGGTGCTCCCTATGGTGCCAGCGATGCCCGCCGCCGCCCGCCGCCATTGGTCATGGCCGCCGACCCTCGCACGAGGGTGTCGATGGAATACCATGGTCCCGATGGTGCCTACCATCGCGGTGCTTCACCGAGCGACTTTGGCACGCCCACCTGCCACCTTCTCGAACGGACAAAACAGCCCCCGATGGGTGCCCAGTATGGTATCGCCAAACTCTTCACACTCGCGCTCGCACAGTATGTATGCCGCCGCCGGAGTTAGGACACCTGGCCGTCGTCTGAGCGTGCCTTCGGGCGGCAACCCGTTTCAGTCACCGCACGGCACCAATGTCCGGGGTCCCCTCTTTGGCCCTCCCGGCATCAACACATCCAACAACGGTGCTTATTCGCCAGGCCAGACCACACTGCTAGCATCGCCCACAGTGTCGAACGCGAGCGGCTGGTCGAGGCGGGATTCTGTATCGAGCGTGGCCGATGATGCCTGGCGTCGGCGCACCTGGCATCCGGAGAGCCGTGAATTCAACAATGGCATCAGCCGGTTGCGTGAAGTCATCACGCCTTCGCAATTTGCTAATGCCCCTCCCCCCATTGCTAACCCAGACAACCAATCGCCACAGCCCTTCCGCTTGCCTGGTATCGAGTCCTTCGATGAGCCCCATAGGCCGCTGTCGCCTCCCCGGCGTTTGCCGTCTCCGATGATGGTTGATGCTCACCAGGCTGCTCAGCACCAACCCCCTCATCCGAATGAGATGGGCTTCAACCGCCCCCGCGAACTGTCGGCCCAATGGGATACGAACCTCCACCGCGGCTTGACGGGGCTGAATATTAACAGGAAAACTCCGCCCCGCGATGGCGCTTCGGCATGGGCTAACGAGGTCAACCATGCTGTCATGTCACAGGCAGATCGGGTCCGGGTTCCCCAGGGTGGTCCAGTTCAGCAGACGGTGCGGTTCGATACCGAAGTGCAGACCGTTCCTGCCCCGCTATCCCACCAGCAGCAACATCAACAGTCGAGTGGGCCACCACCACCGCCGTACGGAAGGGGTCACCACCACACCATGTCGGCTCCTTCGATTCCTTCGCAGAGAGATTCTAAGAGACACGGGTGGTATCATGGGCCGAATGGGCCGGCCGGAGAGACGATTCACGAAGGACGGGCGCATGTGGACAGGATCCAGCATCCGAGTTTGGCGGCGTTTCAGGGGTTTCCTGCTAGGGAGCGGGAGCAGCCACCGCAGCAGCAGCAAGGGCCGCCTCTACAGCATCATCATCAGGGATATCAGCAGCAGCAGCAGCATCCACAACAACATCAGCATCAGCACCAGGGACCACCAGTAGGACACCAGCAACAGCAAGGAGTACCATCAACAATGGAGAGGATTTTGGAGAGGCCGCATCCACAGGCACACGGGCACCAAGTGCATGCTCATCCTCATCAACATCAGCATCAGCACGGGCCTCCAGCTGGCGGGGACACCGCATCGCTTAGGAGGCTGGAGGCGTTGGTGGCTGTGGCTGTGGGTTCGAGCGAGGGGACTACCGCTGCTGCTTATTAGGGTGAGCAGCAGGGGCAATCAGGGTCAAGTGATTATACGCTGCCACCTATGATACTTCAGGAATTCGTGAAAGCTTGGACCATGAACGACGAGAAGCGAGAAATGCTAGGAAGCGATCGAGTGAAAATAATCCGGCCTCGAACACCGCCAATACAGGTATCGAGACTGACGCTTTCAGTCATTCGTGTTGCTGCTGCTGCTGCTGCTGCTGAACGGGCAAGGCAGAGTCAGGAGAGCGAGCAGGGCGATCAGGTAGAAGATACTGCTCGGAAGAAGAGAAAAGCGAGAGGGGGCACATGCACGATGGACGGCGAAGAGGGGATCATAGAATCCTTGGTTGTCGACAACGCTCCCTCGATGGAAAACGATGAACTGCGAAGAAAAGGGTCGTGGGAAAGAAGAAAGGGTGATTGAAACGAAGAAGGGGATTCATGAACAACATTGATGACTTCTTTCTTTGGTATGCGGTATGGTATGACTTTTGGATGGATGGATCATGGACATGACGACGAAACTCACAACATTCACAACATGGAGCGCGCACACGGAATATCTGCTCTTTTTTTTCTTTGCGTTTGCTGTTACTTTTCTCATCTGTCATTTCCGCGGTTCGGCTTTTTGGTTTATGGTTTGGGTTCTTGGTTTTTGGTTTGGTTACATGATGGCGTTTCTGGAAGGCACAGACAGAAGGGCAATTGGGTGGCAAGGCAAGGTAGGGACAGCGAATGGTCATGGAAGGGGGATGAGAAGCATTTTGTTTTATTGGGTTATAAGTTCTGTTTCCTTGTGTTTGTGTGTGGATGGGCGGCAGGGCGACAGGGCGGCATTTTGATGACTTTATGTTTTTACGTTTTCCTTTCGTCAATCTGTTTTGTTAAGGAGTATGAACTGAGCTGAACCTTTGAGAGAGAGAGCATTCGTTTTTTGCAAACATGATACCAATTTTCGAAAACTCGCTCGTCTTGACTCTCCTTTACGTTTTGCTTGTGTCGATTTGTTTTGTTTTGTTAAGGAGTATGAAACTGCACTGAACCTTACTTTGAGAGAGAGCATTCGTTTTGCAAAATATGATACCAATTTTCGAAAAACATCTCGTTTTGAAACTCAACAAACTTGGTTTCATGTGCTCCAAACTCCACGAAGTGTGTTTTCCAGGAACTGAACCATCCAGACAAATCCTACTGTACCAAGCCAGATATACAGCTCAGTACCTAAGTAACACAATTCTCATTGGACTTGGAACGTCGTGGTAGGCTTTGAGGCTTGAAGCCTTGTCTCAATCTTCAATTATGCTGACAATCCTACTACCTATCTTTCTGCTGCACGCGACAAGGTGTGCGGTGCGGGACAGACCAAAGACGAAAGACGAAAAAAGGGCAACTAAGAACTTGAATTCTGACGTGGGCGCACAACGGACGGCAAGGGTCACAGGTGACAGAGCTGACCGCTGACGGCTGACGCATGAGAGACAGGGACGGTAGTTATGTAAGTGTAAAAGCAGAGCAGCAACATGTTCCTGGAATTGGTATCATCCCGCTCTAATAGCTGAGCTGAATGTATCCCATGATAGAGGTAACTGGCAGTGTTGTGCTCTCAGTCTTCATTGCATTTTCTTTTCCCTGAGAAAAAAAAGAAGCACATGTGGGCCGTGGACACGCCGGAGATGAAGTCCGGAACCCCCCGCGGGGCCCCGGTGCGGATCAAGTTTTGACTTTTTAAGTAAGATACTAGTTCTGGCTCTTTACCACGATGCCTATGAATGAAGTATGAATAAAGCATGAACGAGGCAACCAGGCGACTACTAAACAAGGTAACCAAGTGGCTAATGTAACCAAGTTAACCAACTGCTGGAAAAGTAATCAGTCATGCGGCGTGCCTGACAGTCGGAGTCTTTTGTTGGCTTTTACTTGGCTTTGTCACGTATGACAAGCATCGAATATCCCCGAGCTGAAAATGAGCATCCAATCCTTCATCGAGGTTTGAGCTCCTTGCAGATTAGACTTCAAGACCGGGAAGCTGACCCGACTCTGACCTGAGAGAGCAAAGCATGGCTTGCATGGTTCAGGTTTCAAGTCTCAATGTTGTATGTATTGCCATGTATTGAGACGCCGCCAACTTGTTGTGCTAAACTTGGTCACTGGTATTGACATCAATGGTTCTGCGTTATAAAGTTTTACCAACACTGGACCCAAGACATGTAGTTAAACCCGAGAAAGATTGGGATTCGCTTGCATTTGACTCCTTCTCATCAAATTTTTGGATTCACACAATCAGCAACTAGGTGCATGATCCCAGAGGCTTGGGAGACACTTCTTTATTGTTATCTGTTTGGCTCAAAGATGTACCATATTATTTTCTCAGGAGCCTTTGGAGGCCTGGGAGCTATACTCGCCTGCCTGGACTAGAAGAGCCCTCCAGACTCTGGAATAATGATCAGGAGACGAATCTAGGTAGTCCTGACGATCTAGTAACTATGGGAGGTCGGTGTTTATGTATGTAGAAAACTCTAAAAGAGAACGCAACGCGATCTGATCCTTATACTATTCCATCATCTCGATTGAGATTGGGTAAGGTGAGGGGTGCCGACACTCGTACACCAGACCGTCATCCGTAACTGTGAGTCTGTGAAGAGATGTAGATCGTCAAGAAATGGCTGCAGCTTCTTGGGAAGAAGCATATCATCCCTGACCGTCAGCATCATCCATCCATCTTCCTTCCTTCTTCCTTTTTCCCTCATTCTTTTTTCGGTTTTTTTCTTTTTTCTTGTTTTTTTCCGTCAACTCATCCTCCTTTTCCACTTCTTGTTTCCCAACTCCTTCTCCTTCCCTTTTGCTTCTCGGTTCTCAACTCCCACTTCCAAGGACAACGTGAACTTAATCACTCATCATCCTTAATACTCAACCTCCACATCGGAATCACATCCTCCAACGGGGCCTTCTTCTTCTGCTTCACCCCCTCTCCCTCACCACTTCCGCCCTCTCCATTTCCACTCCTTCCACCACCACCACCACCACCACCACCACCACCACCACCACCACCACCACCCCCCCTCCACTCCATCCCCCCCAACCAAATCCACAAGTCCACCCCCACCCACACCCAGTTCAAACCTCCCACCAATACCCACCCCCCTCTTCCCCGTATTCAAATTCTGCTTCCCTTCCACACACCGCCTACACCACGCCGCCGGCCTAACTACAACTTTAAAAGGGTTATACACCCTCTTCGCCCACCTCTCATCATCAAACACCTCATCACAGCACTCACATCGATCAGGATGTTGCGTCTTGCGAGTATGATCCAGGCGCGCACAGCTCGGGCCGAAATGTTTAGCTTTCAGCTCATCGATATCGCTACCGCCGGGTAAGTTGGTTAACTTTATCGTGGTGGGAGGGATGAATGAACTGGAATTGTCCCCGAGGAGAACCTTGAAGATGTCGGTGCCGAGCATGGGGCATTGATCGATTTGTGCGCGAAAGCCGGGGAGGCGGAAGAGTCTGTCGCGGCCGGCCCAGAGGAAGGATGCGAGAAGGGAGTGTAGTTTGGTGGATTGGGAGACGGTTGAGTAAGCGGTGAAGATGCCTTTGAAGAGGTCGGCGGAGTAGGATTGGGGAGATAAGAGGGGGTCAGTGTGGTCGATTATACCTGAGCGGCCTGAGACGGGCGCGGAGTAAGTGCAGAGGAGAAGGAGTTTGGTGTCGAGGTATTGCCCTAGGAGGGTGAGTGTGTCGCGGCATAAGAGGGGGACCATGAAGCGGTGGCCGAGGTTGTAGAGGGTGCAGTAGGTTGTTATGGGGTTGGGCATGGAGGAGGGATGGGTGAGGTTTTCGTCGAGGGCTGGATATATGTTAGTATGCATGGTTGACCGTTGAGGAGTGGTGCAGTAGGGGGGTAAAGATTGGATGGATGATGGCGGACAAAAAGGGACGAGGGAAGAAAGGGAAAGAAAAGGGAAAGTGAAAAAGAGAGCAAAAACTTACAATCAGCATACATAAACCTCAGCATGGTATCGATATCATCAGGGTTCTGATCATGCAGGTTGATCTCGCTGGTTTGGCCCGTCTGTTTTTGTTTTGCCATCATGTCAGCAACCGTTCATCACTCAGCAACCATCTTTCAGCAACCCATTTCCCAACACCCCAATCGCAACATCCATCAAATACCCTTCCCTTTTGGGAGGGAAACGAGGAAAGGAGGCAGGTAACTTACACCATCACTACCAGCAAAAGCCTGCTTAAACCACGCACTCCGCGTGCTCAACCGCATCTTGTGCACCTTCCATGATCTCTTGAGGATATGGATGGTGGCGTCGGAGAATTCGCCTGTTTCGAGGAGGCTGTTTGAAGGATGTTAGCCATTTTGTTATTCTTTCATATTTTCACAACTTCCCTTTTCCCGTTCTCACACTGCATTCAAGCAGCATATGGATAGCATATGGGCGGGAAAAGAAGGGTGACGAAGGGAGGGTAGATAATGAACGAAAGGATGGGGGAAGGCAAAGAGCAGGAAAAAGGAGTTGAAAGAAGGAAAAAAAGAAAGGAAGGAAAGAGAGATCAAAATATGGGAAAGGAGGAAAAAGAAAATAAAGGAAAAACACTTACTGCAAATCATTCGCCTTATGCCTCCGATTGATCTCATTCCCATCAACACTCCAGCCTTTCTTCGCCCCAGCCGCACCGGAAGCCGTTCCCGCCGCCGCAGCAGGACCCGCAGGAACAGGTATTGGAACTGCCGCCGGCTTTGAACCCGCCCTTGAAGATGAAGCCGCACGAGAAGCTCCCGGAGTACCACTAGCCGCAGTCTTGCGCTGCTTGTTGGCTCTGCCATCGACGATATCAACACTTCCTCTGGAAGAACTAGCGGCGCTAGCAGCCCTCTTAGCAGGAATGGTCGATGAAGAGGCAGAGGCAGAAGCAGCATCAGCAGCAAACGGAGAGGCGGCAGAAACACCCCTGGCTGAACCACCTCGGCCACCTCTGCCGGCTCTTCCACCTCTAGCTCCGGCTCTGCCACCTCTAGTGTTTCCTGACTGTCCACGAGTAGTAGTGGTAGTAGTAGCACCAGCAGCACCAGCGACACCAGGGACAGGTGCAGGAGGAGGGCGATTAGCAGTAGCCACTATGACCGGAGCGGAAGCAGGAATCGGGGAGACGTTTGTACCATTGCTCGTGGCGTTGTTTTCAGTCTTTGTAGCAGCAGCTGTGCCGGTAGTGACAGCAGCGTCCGTGGCAGTGGCAGTGGCAGTGTCTGTCGATGTCGTGTTCTTTCTAGCACGGCCGCGGGGACGGGCGGGGATAGCGCCGGTGGCGGTGGTGCTGCTGGTACCTGTGGTGGTACCAGTGGTGAGAGTGGGGGTTACTGCTGCTCCTGCTGCGACCCCATCTCCATCTCCTTGTCCTGATCCGTCTCCTGATCCGACTCCATCTCCAGCTCCAGCTCCAGCTCCGGCTTGCGTACTAGTGGTAGTAGTAGGTGTATCCTTCGCGGCAGTCTTGGATGCGGTCTTCGGAGTAGCTTTGGTGGTAGTCTTGGGGGTGGTAGTTTTGGCAGCTGTTTTCGGAGTCGCCTTCGTCGCAGCCTTAGGAGTAGCTTTGGTAGCCGTCTTGGGAGCAGACTTGGGAATCGCTTTCGTAGTCGCTTTGGGAGTCACCTCAGCACCGTCAGCTGCCTCAGCACCCGCAGCATCAGCAGCGCTGGGAGCGGTCTTCGGGACAGCGGGAGTCTTTGGACCAGCAGGAGTCTTAGCACCCGAAGCAGCATCCTTCTTAGCAGCTGGCTTGCGAGGAGTAGCGGCGGTCTTCTTGGCTTGGGTTTTCTTCGCTACGGCTGTTGTGGTAGCGGCGGATGTTGTAGCCACGGCGGTGCCATCACCAGCAGGACCAGCAGGTACAGCAGGCGCAGCAGAACCCCGAGGTAAAGCAGCAAAAGTCGCAGCCGTAAAAGCGTTTTGAGCAACGGTTTGGGCTGGGGTTACTGATGTAGCCCGGGGTGCAGCTTGGGGCGCGGCGGCCTGAGGAATGCTCATAAGAGCCATCATCTTCTGCTCCTCATCATCCTCATCAGGCTCGCCCTTGATGCGGAAGGGTCTGTCGGGATCCATGGTTGCGTGTTCTTGTTCTTGTTCTTGTTCTTGTTCTTGTTCTTGTTCTTGTTCTTGTTCTTGTTCTTGTTCTTGTTCTTGTCCTACTGGTAGAGGAAGTAAGGGAATGGTACTAGTAAAGATGGCAAAGCGAAAGCGCGGGTTGAGGATAAATATTCCTGGACCTGAACACGGACACGGGTTAGTGGATGTTAAGGTTAGGGTGAGTTTGGCTTTGTCGGTTGCAAGACTCATGATTTTGTAGGTTTCAACGAGTGTGAAAGAGCGAAATAGGGAGCGGGGCGAGGAACTACTGGATATTGGGAGGTAAATGGATGGGGAGTGAAGGGCAGTAAAGGAAAAAAGAGAGGGAAAGGGGTGAGGGAGTGTCTGGAGATGATATATACCTTTGTGCGATAATGATAATTATCAGTGATTATCGTGGATCGCTTGCGTACGCTCTGTTGAAGTCTGTGATCAAGGCGTGACGGCAGAGATAGGAGGCCTGGAGTATGGGGAAGAAGGTCTGGAGAGGGTTTGGTTGTGGTCGAGAGACGAGGTTTTATACCTGTCGACGAGAGGTGTCGATGTGGTGGAGAAATGCGGGAGTGTCCAGGTTCGTTGAATTCGTTTGCAATACTTCGCTTGTGGGCTAGTGTAATGGGATGATTGTATTTGAGGCAGAGCTTGAGGTCTTCCAGCACAGGTCAAGGCCTTCTGGCTGGCCACGAGGGGGTTGAAGGTTGACGAAAGGGAGTGAGGACGACGAGGAAGGCAAGATGTGCGGCTCAAAAGGGCGAGTGACGAGGGTGCTATGGGGTGCTGGCAAGCAAACGAGGCCTCAGGTTGTCCAAGCAATGTGTGTAATTTCCTTTTGGTAATCCCAAGTGAATGGGATGGAAGATCAGGCCGCCGTGGTCAAGGTTCGGTGAGTGGGTTGCGCCATGGGAAGGCAGTGAATGGATGTTGTCCATCCAAGGGTTGTCCAGTCAACCCGAAGTGAAGTCGACGAAACGGCAAAGGTACCCAGAGATATCCATGATCACGAGTACCTTTCAAGAGTCTTCAAGCCGCGACTTCAACCGCGCTATGCAAAAGGTGTTACTTTCAGTGTCGAAGACTCGACACCATTCTGCTCTTCACCACCAACCATTCAACAACCGTATGAAAATCCAAAAGAAACATGCTGTATTAAACACCTTCGCCATGCAAGCCATTTCTCATCATCACCTTCCAATATTATTAACCACACTCCCCACCATAACCGCAACCTCCCTTTCCCACCTTCCCTTCTCTCCATCCTTCATCCCATCTGTTGGCCTACCCTTATCTGCTGCCACGTTACCAGGCAGCATGCACCCCTTCATGACACACTCCCTAATGGCCTCGCCCACATTCTGCCTATTCGTCCTTAGTGTCCTTGCCGAAACTCCTCCCTTATTCATTATCTCTTGCACTCTCGGCGCCAGACTACTAGCCATGGTTCTCCAAAAGTAACTCGCCAATGACCCTGTTTCCAGGTATGCCAGTAGAGGTTGAAGCATGTTGCCTCCCGTTTTGGCGGTGATGGCCTGTTGTCCCTGACCCTGGACCAACGGATGAGAAGGCATCTTAGTTGTTTCTAGCACCGCCTCAAGAGCAACGACATTTTGGCACCGGGCTGTGACGTCTGCTAGTGTGCGTTCTAGTGAGGGTAAAGTAGCTAGAGCACGCGACAACGAGGCGGCGGAGGACTGTAGAGCAGTACGAAGGTAGTTCTCGAGAGCTTGGAGCATTAAGGCAGGTGACCACTTTTCGTTTTTGGCGAGGGTGGTTGGTGACAGGAGGTAGAGCGTCGTTAAACCAGATACGGTTCGTGCGCGCGTCTCTTCGGATTGGGCAAAGGTCAAGCTTCCCGACGCAGCCCCCATAGAAAACTCCCGAATAATACGCTCGGCTGATTCACGGACGGATCGCTCCGTAGGGAGGTAGATGTTATCCCGCAAAGTGCGGATGACAGCGACGCGCTCGATGCCGTAGCCTTCTGAGCCCGGAACGTTGGCTGTCGAGAAGAGCTCACGGAGAGACAAGAGGGTATGTGCGCATCGGACCAAGGCGCGATGATCTTCCTTGCTGCGCAAGCTGGCGGAGGAGGTGGTGACGGTCGTGGAAGCAGAGCCGGTCAACTCGCCATGTTGGACTTCAAGCTGACGACCGAGTTGGAGAGCACGGCCTACTGTTCTACCGAGCTTGAGTGTTTCCCAGAGACGGGAGGCGACGAGACGGACTTCCTCGGCTTCGGCATGTTTCTGGATCACCTCCTTTTCGAGCTGTTTGTAGCTGTCGTTTAGGGCCTTGATTTGGGTGTCGAGTTCGCCGATGATGCGCCCGCTGGCGTCGGTTTGTTCTTTGGTGTGGGTAAGCAGTGGGATGGCGGATCGGGTGGTTAGGACGTCGATGTGGGAGTCGATCTCTTGGATGTCGAAGAGGACGCGGGAGAGGGGGGTGGAGAGGTCGAGGGGCGCATCGTTGGGGTTGTTGGTTGCGAGAACGAGCGTGTTGGCAAAGGCGGCGGGGCTGAATCCTGGATCGAGAAAGGTCTCGTAGTCAATGTAGGACGGTTCGTCGTCGTTGGCGACACTCATTGTGGTGGTGATGTGTGCGGTGTCCGTAGAGGTGTATGTGTGTTGGGGGTGAAGCGCGGGTCGGAATGACAGATCGGGACGGGGTTCGGGTGTTGACTTGAGAGCTCCGACCACAACAGCAACACGGAGGATCGGCCAGTTGTCGTGTCGCTGGTGGCCTGCCCGTTCCAATTGGATGGTTCCCCTGAAAACAAAAAGGTTACAGTGGACCTAAGGCCGAGGCTAGCGGCAGTGGAGGAAGCCCCGCTGTTTTGTTTCTAGCCCCATTGATGTCCCCGCACCTCGGGGCTTGGTGAGGTCATCGAGAACATCGTTAACAGACGTGCCCCTGTTTGCAGCCCCAGCAGCCCTAACCGGTGTTAGGCAAGACCCGGCAGAGCCCCAGGGCGGTAGTGGGTGCGCTGCCCGGGACCGCGAATGAAGGTCGAGATTACGGCTCTTGGCTTTTCCTAGAAATGGACGAATCATCCATGAACCGGGCGTCGAATCGTGATGGCAAACACAGTCCGGAATCCGTCACCGGTTCTTGCTCAATTCTCTTGGCTCTGTCCAGGCACTCTCTTGTCTTCTTTTTTTCCCTCAAATCAATCGGCGACTTTTCTTCCTTTTCTACCAAAAAATGACCTGAGAAGTCGACGATTCTCGAGGTTGTCGACGACCACATTGCGCCATCGTCCTCCCTCCAAGTCCATTCTCGAGAAAGATCTCGCCCTACGAACGAGTAATTGTACGAGTAATACAATCGACCAGCATCACGAGATTTCGCTGTCACCAACCACCGACAGCTTCCCGTCGATCCATCCGACTCATCCGCCTTATCAACCTTTAATCTCATTCTTCGATTTACACGACTCCTTGTGATTTCTCCACGGCCCCATCTTCCCCAGACTCTCGTCTAATGGTCCTCCACTTCTTCTTCTTCCGACAACAACAAACATGACCATCGACGCCCGCGATATCCTTGCCTGGCCCGGCGGCGACAACAACACCGACACGGTCCTCTCGGGCCTGCACTTCAACATCACCACCCTCGAGAACTGGAACTACACTTTATACTCGAACGGCACCCTGTCCAACGGCACAAAGTGTTACCTTACTTTCGAACCTTTTGCGCCCGCCCTCATCTTCCCCAACGGCACCTTTATCAATGCGACCAAGTGCTGGCATCCCGTCCACCCCATCGGCGCCCGAGCCGGCACCGGTCTAGGTTTCGCCGTCGTCTTCGGTCTAAGTCTGGTCTTGACTCTGGTCGCCCTCAACAAACATGGAAAACTTCATCTGCCCGCCCAGAAACGATTCCATCCCATCGGTCGCAGATGGCAGTGGTACTGGGCCATCTTCACTTGCGCCACCGCTTTGATCAGCTTGTTCACCAATATCGATGTCGACCGATATTATCTGCCCGAAATCCCCATTGTGCTGACAAGCTTCTTTTGGTACCTGATGCAAATAGGTGCCGTCGCGTGCACATGGGAGGCGGTTTAGGCATTGGGGCAGTTGGATGGAAAGACAGTTTATCGATCCGGATCCCTTCCGTCTGCGCGAAGAAGGCCGTCGGTACTGGATCGAGTTCTTCCTCCCGCTGGTCGCATACTTGTTCATGTGGTTGGTACGTTATATAACATACACTTCCATCTACCATTCGTCTCCTAACAATTGGCAGAACTTCTTCATCGTCGTCCCCCGTTCCTGGGGCAAGATAGAACACCAGCGCTATCCCGAACAAATCATCACAGACGCCGAACCCACCGCCACCCGACAACCGCTTCAAGTCCGCGCCCTTCTTCCTCTTCGCCGCCTGGCTTTTGACGGTCTTCTCCCTCTGGCACTCGATTAAGCACTACTGCCCGCGCAACCGGGGCATCATCAACCGCACCATCGGCCTCTTCAAGTTTACCCCCACGCGCTTCATGCTGATCATCCCGCTCGCCTTCATCGTGCCGCTGTTCCAAGCCATGGTCGCCTGGAACTTTGACTGGAGCCCGCTCAACGTCAAGGGAAAGCCCGAGGCTATTTACCCCGGCGGCTACGCGCCTGCTTTGCTTATCGTTATCATCCAGGGAATCTACGGCTTGCTGTCGCCTAACGAAGACCGCGAACTCATCCGCCAACGTCGCGAGCGGGGACAGACACTTGATGCCGAACTGGGTATCCAGCGCAAACCGGCTTGGTGGCGCCGTGTGCAAGGAGCGGGTGGTGGACCGAACGAGACTATGCGCGACAAGATCATGCGGAATGTGAGGGAGATTGGAGGCGGGGGACCTACGGCTAGGAACGTTAAGGAAGCCATTCACACGCGGGCTGCTGAATCTTCACCAAATGGCCCAACAAGTCCACAGGAGGATATGGAGATGGTCAGCATCCCCTCGCCTCAACATGTCGTGGGGGTAACGGGTCCGATAGCGGCAGGCGACTTTGCGAGCGCGAGACAGACGGCGGGGAGGTATGTGGGTGTTATGACGCCTAGTGCGACGAGTAGACAGGCGGAGTTGATGATGGATGGACCGCCGGGGACAGTACCGCCGCCGCCGTATACGGATCGACCACCCCTGGGGACTGGGGAGACGGGAAGAAATCATAGTGTGGCGAGCTCGACGAGCCCGAGTATTAATTCGCCGCCGGTGCAGGTTAGGAGTATGCTTGATGTATGATGTATGAGGATGAGGATACCTTGGATAATGAAAAGAAGAAGAGAGGGAAAAGTCGGCTGTGAGAAAAACAGATACCAGTCTGTTTTCATTGTCGATATTATTATTACACGGTATGGCACATACGACACGAAAGCAAAAAGCTGTTGGAAGGAAGAAATGAAGGTGGTTAACGTGCTGATAGGCACGGTCACTCCCGTCAGGCCTGAAACCATACAGGAAATGAGGATATGATCACCCCTCCCTCTTAGGGGATACATGACATAAAAGAGTGAACGACTACAAGTTCTTACGGGGGCCAGGAAGGCCACGAATTGGCGAGCTGGAAAAGCCACATCTCTTCTTCATTGTACCCGGTCTTATATATGGACATATATCGCTTTAGTAGTAGTAGTAGTAGTATTAGTAGTAGTACTCATTCATCGCGTTGGGCGACAACGACAACCACGGCATAATATCATATCATATCATACCAAGATGAAGTGCGATCGTCTAATCGCCACATGGGTGCCATCTCCTCATTGCCGTTGATGCCGACTTACTTGGCTTCGTTTGACCAGGCCGAGATCTACTTGTATAAAATGGATGTATAACCAGGAAGAAGAAGATCACCTATGACTGACATCAAATCTGAATCACATTCACCCCTCCCCTCCACTAACACAAAGACCACTTTACCCCCCCCCCCCCCCCCCCGACCTTTTACCTCTAAACACCAACAACCTTTTCGTTACCCGAACTCGTCGTCTCCCCAATCTCATGCCCTTCAACACCACCTTCCCTCTGCGCCCCCATCATTCCCATCCTCAACCCCGGATTAACCTTATCAGAATGACTCATCCAAGGAAACCACACCCCGGGAGCAAACACGGTAAAAAGCACACAAGCAATCAACACCATGAAACTCTCCAGCACTACAAAGCTCGGCTCATCCTGCATGATCTCGTTTCCCCAACCGCCCGCCATCTCGGCGATTCTGTAGACACACCTGATGAGCAAACAGGCGTATCCGCCGGCCATGGCCCAGAGGAACAGTTTGGTTTTTTTGTCGGTCCAGGTTTGTTTTTGCATCGTTTCTGTCCCTGTCTCGGTCCCTGCCTCCCCCGCAGTAACCCCTCCAGAAAACCCCCCAAAATGCCTCTTAGCGCGCAAAAGAAAAATGCTCGACAACCCCCCAAACGCCCCCAAAATAACAACCTGCAATACAATCCCCGCGATAATCACCCGGTTTCCGTGCTGCAGCAGCCCAAAATTATCTTTGCCCGCGGACGCCGCGATGCCGCCGCCTATGGCTTGGATGACTAGACACGAGACGTCGGCGGGGACGAAGAAGATGGGGTAGAATTTGGGCCGGAAGGGACTGAGGGAAGGTGAAATGGTGGCGACGATGTGTTTGAGCGTCAGGTAGAGGCCGATGCAGACTAAAGTTGGGCCGAGGACTATGGAGACGATTTGCGTCTTGAAGGCGGAGGAGGCCCAGGGGTTTTGGGAGAGGATGGCGCGGCCGGCGTAACCTGTGTTGGAGGGGGGAGGGGGTGTTAGTATGGTGAAGACAGAGGACAGAGGCAGGGGTGATTATTGAAAGGATCCCTGGGGACATGGAAAAAAGGGGATGTATAGGGTAGGAAGGGGAAGGGAAAAGAAAGAGGTAAAAAGCAAAAAAAAAAGGGTCAAGTAGTAAGTGCCTGGAATAAGACATGGAAATCAAATGAAAGGGAAGAAGAATGTGTAAATGTGTCAGGTGTGTCAGAAAGAAAGAAAAAGAAACATACCAGCACACTCCAAAATACACCCCGCGGAAATAGCTATCGAGTATCCCCACGTCTTCTTCCAGATACCAATCGCCAGCGTGCCAATCGCACACAAGCCAAAGCCAATGGCCAAGAAAATGTTGACACCCTGGTTGGGATAGTAACCAAGTGTTGTGTACTCGACTGGGCAGAAAGGTGTGACTTCGTGGCAGGTATCGTAGCCCGGATAGAATTGCGGTGTGGTGGCCGGTGGGCCGGCTGAGGCTGTTGTTGACATTGTGATGGTCGGTTGCTATCAATTTGCGATCAAGATGATGGTCCGGAGGTGTAAATCGGAACGGGTCAGGATCGGATCAGGGCCCGGAATGGGAAACGGAGAAGTGGAGACCAAAAGGCTATCGGCGCCGGAGTGGTGGAGTCCGAATGGATCGGAACAAGCGACCGAAGGTATCGGTTGTGCGACAGTGCAAGCAAGCGCAATGAATGACTTGTTTACTTGTCGGCGATGGTAATACAACCCCTTAAAAAGAATGCAGGTTGGTTGGAAAAAGCCACAGAGAAATCCCGAAGTGAGAAGAGTCGAAAGAAACAAGGAAGGGAACAAGCTTCGGTTTTAATCTCCTCGCTCACTGGACAACTCCAACCCATTAGCCAATCGCCCAAGTCCCAACGCAAACGAAGCTAATGTAGACCCAACGGGCCAAAAGTTATCCGGGACGGGGAGTGATCCGGCAGACTCAGCCGCCTCTTCTGGCAGCGGTACATACATACAGTGTAATGTTACCGATACCATCTCTTCCCCATTTCCAGTAGCTTAAGGAGAGCTGTGATTTGCCAGTCCGGATTGACAATATCTTTCCACCTTATAAAGAGTGTCACCATTCCTCTATTTCCCCCCATTGAAGACCGAAAATTGCATTCAACATGATAGAAAGAAGCCTTGGGAGCGGCGGTTCCTGACTCTTTCAAGGAAGGTCCCCGCTGTGCCCGTCGTGCCCGTGTTAATGGCGACGCTTGAATAGTGGATGCGTGTCGGATAGAAATCGCGCCTATTGGTAGATATTGTCCACAATGCGAATAGACTCACACCTTGGAGGGGGCGTGCGCATTTTGGATTTGCGGGATTCCCACATCAATGTACGTACAAAGAAGTTCGCATTTGCGGAAGTGGAAGTGGAAGTTGGTGAGCCCAACGAAACGTTCTTCCTTCTTTTCGAGGAGAAGCCGAAGACCGATGACGATTTGATTCGACTCAGCTCCGTCTCATTTGAGAGGTGTTTGTCTGACATAACAATAAATAACAACCAATTTGCCGGAGGATGTTCCGACCATACATCTCCTCTCGTCGTGGCTGTTCCCAGCCGTCTTCTAGAACCCTTCGACTTGGTCGCTATGTCCAGAAACACAGCCTCAGCCCTACGCAAATTGGCGTAAGTGTACACTGATAACCAAAAAGATGGTCGGGCCTGTTTGCCGTCTGGGCTTTGACCCAACTTTCCCAAGCGAGCTCAGCTTTGGCTGGTTGCTTTGTCATCACAGCACAGCAGCTTCATCTTTTCAGACTTCGGACTGTCTGGCCAGCAGCAATACTGTATGACTGTTTGCGACCTCATCTGAATGCAATCAATCACACACATATCATTCAGTCTTGGCGAAACGAAAGTTACATACGGTAGGCGACGACGACTTACAGGTTAATAGTGACCCACCTTCACATACCCAAAATGACGGACTCGCCGTCTGCCATTGGTCCGGGTCCGATACGGCGTACACATCGAAAGAGTCGAACGGGTTGTACGGCGTGTAAGGCCCGGAAGATCAAGGTATTTGTTCCCCTTTTTGAAGGGCTAATAACACCGGATTGACAGTTTTCAGTGCGACGAACACCACCCGTCATGCATCAATTGCATATCCCACGGTCTACAATGTCCGTTCCTGTCTATGAAAGCGAATCTGCCGCCTAGACCTAGACCAAGGCCTCAACCTCAAGCACCAAGTCCGATCACCCAGTCTCAGATCCAGTCACCGTCGCCAGTTTCACCACACACACCTGTTGAACCTTCACCACCACCGCAGCCCAGCATTCCAATTAACCCCAGTTATCACCCTCACCCAGGCATCGACAATCCAATCGAAGAAGATGACGACCCCCTCCCAACCCTCCACCTCCTGCTCCTCCACAACTTCACATCCTCAACCTACCTAACCCTAACCACCGACTCCACCGTCGCCCACTTCTGGCGCACCTCCGTCGTCAACCTCGCCTTTTCCCTTTCCTCATCCTCATTCACATCCTCCTCATCTTCTTCCTCCTCTTCTTCCTACCTCCTCCGCGTCCTCCTCTCCGTTTCCGCCCTACACCTAGCGTTCCAACAATCATGTCCCCAAAAACGAGACTTCTACACCGCCCAGGGTATCCTCCTACACCAAAAAGCGACGAGAGAGGCCATGAGAAAAATGTTGCCTGTTATCGAAAGGGAGGAGGATGAACTTGGCTTGTACCTGTTTGCCGCTTTGACGATCTATGTCGCGCTGGCGAGTCCGAGGGGGAAGAGGGGGGATGGGAGGGTATATGTTTTGGAAAATCAGGGCGAGTGGAGGAGGAATGAGGAGATGACTTTGTTAGACGACAGGGGTGATAAAGAAGTCGAGGCCGCGGGACTACCAGGAATGGAGACGGGAAGTGCGGGACTCAACTTTCCCGACTGGGCCTTCCTCGTTAACGGCCCCAAGTCACTCAGCAACTTTATCACGAACAACGCCGCGCATCAAGAGTTTCTTAAGCCCTTTTTGGCGTATGGAGGGAGGAGGTGGAGGGAAGCAAGAGGGGAGTCGTCGTCGTCGTCGTCAACTTCTCCCAGCGCTGGACTGTCAAAAACTGGTACACCGACGCCATCTGGCACTGGCACTGCCACTGGGTCCGGCTCCGAGTCCTCCTCCGACATGCCAGTTGAACAGGAAAGGGATGAAAATGAGAATGAGAATGAGAATGAGAACAAGAAGGAGATACCTCGGCCCCGACCGCTATCTCATCTCCGCTCGCTCATCAGCAGCGATACCACCAACCCCCATCTCGAAACCTATCTCTTTGCCATTGACGAGCTGGAACTGTCGCTCACACATCTAACCTCCTCGTCGCCCACTGCCAACACCAACACCAACACCAACACCGATACCATCATCATCACCTCACCATCCATCACCCCCTCCTCCTCCAACTATGGCCCAGACTCAGACCCCTCCCTCTCCCCCTTCCCCTCCCAAACAACAACCCAAACAGAAGCCCAAACCGCAGCATCAGCATCAACAGCAAGCGGCGGAGGCGACGTACTAGACGCCATGCTCTGGCTCTGGGCCGTCTCCGACTCCCTAGTCCCCCTCCTCAAGATTCCCACCCAAGAAGCCGTAGCCGTCTTTGCCCATTTCGGCATCTTGCTCAAACACCACGAAAGACAGTGGTGGCTACAGGGTTGGGGCGATCATTTGATTTTGAGAGCGAAAGATATTTTGGATGAGGAGCATCGGGGGTGGATTAGTTGGCCTTTGGAGGTTTTGGAGGGGGGGTCAAGGGGGTTAAGGGGGGCGGCGTACACTAGGGGGTGACAGCTGTGATCTGGCTCTGGCTCTGGCTCTGGCTCTGGCTCCAAATCAGGTTCAGCTGCGGAGTCGGGTTCGGGGTCGGCGTCCGGTAGCAGTTCTTAACTTCTTTGCGGGTTGGTGGGGCAGTAAATGAAACATGGAGAAAGCGGCAAATAAGAGGACATGACTTGAAGGGGTAGAAAGCACTGTAAGAACATAACACGGTGAACCCCCCAAGGGACGAGGGACATGAAGGAAGTACGCATGTAGCCAAGATCGCAATTCAAGCGATACAAAAAGCATCAACATCATGAGTAGGTAAACATTAACAACCCTTTGAAAACAAGCAAGCTATGACTTGCATCCATCCAGTCCCTATCCGTGACTTGTGATAAACCATGCCAAACTCCAAACGACCATAATCATGACCCATATCATCAAAAAAGTCAAATCACCCCCCGTCAGGCTTAAGCAGCAGCAGCAACCTGCTCCTTCTCAGCCGCCTCATCAGCAGGCGACAAACCCGCCTTGGCCGGTCCGCTCACACAAATACCCTCCTTGGAGAAGCGCGAGCCATGCACGGGGCAATCGAAGCTCTTCTCGACAGCGTTCCAGCACACGACGCCCTTGAGATGGGGACAGAGAGCGCTGAACTTCTTGACGTTGCCGTTCTCGTCCTTGTAGACAGCGATGGGCTTCTTGGTATCGGCCTGTTTCGTTACTCGTCAGCATTGTCACCCTACTAGAAAGGGAAGTAAAGAGGAAAAAAAAATACCTTGTTCAAAACACCACCGCATCCCCTGGGCAAGTCCTCAATATCCTGAATATCCGTCTGCAAGAAGCGCTTGTATTGCGCGTTCACCTCCAAATCATGGCTGAGCATGCTCGGCAACGACTTGAGAATGCTGGCCACGCGCTTGGGGTTGTACAGCTCTGCCCAGGGGTTCTTGATCCCGTCAATCTCATCCGCCAACAGCCTACCGGCCAAAACACCGTGCGTCAAGCCATCGCCAGAGTCGCCAGTGATGATGTAAATCTTGTCGTTGCCCTGGTTCTTGCCGATGAAACCCATGTAATCCACGGGCTCAAAGATCTGGCCAGACCACTTGTAATCAACGCTGCCGACCTGGGGGAAGCGTTCCCTTGTCCACTTCTCCAGCTCGTCAAAGCGGGGGGTGGTCTCCTCCTGGCCGACCTTGTGATCACATCCGCCGACGACCATGTAATCGTCCTTTTCGTCGCACTCGGTCAGACGCACATACTTGTACTCTTCCGCGTTGTCATACAGCAGGCAGTCCTCGACGGAACCCTTGGGGACGCGCACGGCGATGCAGTAGGTGCGGTAGTACTCGAGCTGGGTGATGACGGAGAGTTTCTGCAGGGGAATGCAGGTGGCTTCGATGGCGTTCTCGGCCGTGATGGTGTGGCCGTTCTCGGTCTTGATTTCGACTCTCTTGTGGCCCATTCCTAGAAGCTCGATGCCCTTCTCCTTGACGTCCATGACGCGGGTGCGGGCGTAGCATTGGAAGTTGGGCTGGGTTTTGAGCCAGTTGAGGACGCCGACGAGGTAGCGCGTCGGGTGGAAGGTGGCTTGGTTGTCGGCGACCATGCCGCCGCGTTGGTCGATGGAGGAATTCCAGCCGCGGACAGTGAGGTTGGGCTGTCGGACGCTCGTGTTAGCTTCATGTTATGAAGGGCAGACTGACGGGGGCCAGGGACTCACATCAAACGTCGTCTCCATGCCAATCTTCTTCTGGAACTCGGCCTCCTCCTTCAACTGCTGCATCTCATCATCATGCTTCTTCTCGCCCACCGGGAACTGGCTGATATCGTACGCCGGCAACTTGCGATACTCGCAGTCAATGTTGAGCTCCTTGGCAATCTCGCCGATTCTGTCTCTGGCCCACGCATGGCTAGCAGCAGCATGCTTGGCGCCCTCCTCGCCGTGCTTCTTGGCAATCTCGACGAAGCCATCATCCAAATCGTTGGTCAAGTGGCCCGAGGTGCGACCACTTTCACCGGACAGCACGTTGCGGGCTTCAACAAGAGTCACCTGCTTGCCGCGCTTGACGAGCTCGTAGGCGGTGGAAATACCGGCGATACCGGCGCCGATGATGGCGATGTCGGTCTCGAGGTCCTTGTCGAGGGAGGGGAACTCGGGGATCTTGGACCAGGGCAGCTTGTGTGTCCAGACGGGCTCGGCAGCGCCGGAGGACTGCATTGATCGGTAGGGTTGGGTGTTGGGTTCGGTCATGGTTGCGAAGGTGTGTCTGCAGCACCTGAGGTTAGACGGGCCAACTTGTACTAGTAGGCAGTTGAGGAAGACATACCTAGGAGTAACAGCCTGCGCTTGAGAAAGCGCCTGATAACGAGGGGCAGTGGTGCGAGTCTGAGGGGCAGATGGTTGTTGTGCTTGGGTGGTGATGGGGCGGGTGGTGGAAGTTCCCCTCAACTTATAAGAGACGGGGGTTGCTGCGGTGACGTCACGAGTCGCAGAGAGTACGGAAATGCGACCAGACACGGCGTTTCTGGCCAAAAGTCGGGTGGTTTGTCTCTGGCAAGTTGATGCGAGAATGGCCATTTCTTATTCTGTGAAGGGTTTGCAATTGATCGTGTTGTTGGTGTCGCTGGGTGTTGGCGATGGAGGGGAAAGAAAAGTAAACAAACGGGAAGATGCGGTGATGAGGAAGGAAAAGACCGAAGTGGCACCTTGATGGGTTGTCTGTTTTGTTGGAGGAAAGTTGCGAGGAAGGAGAGAAAGATGGGAATACAAAGCTTCAATTGGCTTGAGCCAGAATGCCTCGTCCGATTTAAATGTTGCCGTCTTGGCCGGTTGATCGCATTTGTTTACACCTTGATGGCCGCTCTGATGATGCCTACAAGTACACACGAACCTGTGAGCGTGAGCCCCATCCACTTACAGAAAGTCATGACGACATTGTGTCCGGCCATCAAAGGGGAAACTGGGGGCAGGTCAGCATGGTGAGCACGGATCACCGCACTTGTAGTGTACAGCGTGCGTGGCAAGGCGTCTGGAGGAAAATCATCACCAACTCTCAAGACGTTGCCGTTCAGTTTCAGATGGGGATTGTGGGGGGAAATCATTGATGCCACAGCAGGATGCTATCACAGGTTAAGCCCTAACCCTGAGAGTCTCACGCTGCAGGTGTCTTACTGACCGGCGGGCCCGTGCAGCATATAGTTCCTCCTCATCTCCGACTTCAAGACTTCATAGTGATCAAGACATCATTACTTCCTTTTCCACTGTCAGCTTTGTTGCAAAAAATGAAAGGGCACAGAACTTGCTTCTCTGCCATCTTAGTCCCATTTGGTACCTTACGGGTGTCGAATATGTCACAAAATGGAGTCTCTTGAATCCTTCGCATCGGCCATCTTCGGTATCCCGAGTCTTGAAAAGTCGACACATTAAACCCCAACCCTGGCTCAGCAACACGCTTACTCTCCGGCACAGACCACCTCCCCCATTTCTTCCTTTTCCAGGTCAACACCAACCACTCGTCCATCACTCCCCACCAACCCTCATCCCAAAAACCTCACTCTCAATCTTCCACCTCTCCGCCTCCTTCCCCCTTCCCAACAACTCAATCTCCTCATCACTGATCTCCTCCCTCTTCTTCCCCACCCAAACCACCACCCCGCTCTCCTCATCATCCTTCTTCCCACAAACAACCCTAACCCCGACCTTCCCCTCCTCCGCCAACTCCTTCATCATCGCCAAATTGACAACCGGCTCCCTCATCATCAGCTCTTGACTTCTTTCCTCGCCGGGACCCAAAGTGACCAGCGCATCTTCGGGTGGAGGCATGGCGCGCTTGATCATCAGCTCGGGGAAGTCAAGCTTGTTGGATGGGTTGGAGAGGGAAGAGATGTAGATGAGGCCGAGTTGGAGGGCGAGAGGGTCGAGTGGGGAGGACCAGGTTAGGAGAGTAACGGGGACGGAGGGGGAGGTGTTGGTGAGGGTTAGGAGGAGGGTTGGTGGGGAGAGGGAAGGCAATGGTTGGGAGATGGTGAGGGAAATGGGGATGGAGAGTTGGGAAGGCATTTTGGGGTTGGTGTTGGGGTTGGTGTTGAATGGGAGAAGGAAAGCAACAGTAAAGGCTTGAGGAATGGCTGTGACGAGAGAGGGAAAAGGACTGGGCCAAGATTGGTTTTGACGAGCGTCGTGGTTGACGGTGAAAGTTGACGATGGAATTTGGCCAAGCTCCCAAAACACAGAAGGTGGACCGGAAATTGATGTGGTGTTGGAAACCGAGCTTGAGCGAGACTCTATGGTGTCAGATGCGCTTGACCAAGAGGATTGCTCTCTTTCTGACTGCTAACGTCGTGATAGGGCAGCGACTGATCACGCAGAATCCGAATGAAGCTGGCACGATCGTGAGTTGATGCAGAAGAACCGATGTTGCACTGTTGAATTCTGCTATCAGCAAAAATAGGATAAAAGGAAGCGATGTCATTCAATACCCGCAGCATCACTTACCTCAGCAAACAGAAACAATTACTCGATGATTGGTAGATGATGCAGCGCGGGGCCAACACAAATGCGGTACCCGGAGACTTTCGACGACAGGAAGCAATTGTGATGCCGGTTCAAAGACGATGTCAAGTCGAGTTGAGATGTGCTACAGAGGAGTTTCTCCCTTTCGGTCAAGGTTGCGAGAATCCCACGTCTTCACCCCTGCCTTGGCGCCAGCTGCCTCAACTGACAGCCGACTGACAGGGCGCTTGAAGATGTCTTCATGCACGTCACTGAATAAGGTAGAGGACCGGCTCCATCACCACTGTAACCACGGCACCGGCCAGCCGACGCTATCCCCACCTTCCCTTCTCGTTCTATCCCCCCGTTTCATGCTATTGCCCTACTCCGATTTGCTGCACCGTCACTTACACGATACACGAACCTTGACCATGGGACGGAAGCGAGCAAGCCACTCAGACGACTATCTCATTCTCACAACGGCTCGATTCTCTACGGCAAGATATCAACGTCGTTCGACCCCCTTCATTGGTAACCGCCATGAGGCGTCTTTACCATAGATGTCGAGCATTGTACCTCACGAGTCCGGCTATAGAGCCCCAGGGGCAAGGGAGGTTTCCCCTACACCCCACGTCCTCTACGAACATCGTAAGAACTTCATCTTCTCGGTCAGCGACAAGATCCCGTTGACAAATACAAACGACCACTGGACGACCTTCCAGAACTGCATTGACCTTTGTGCCCCGAACCGCCAGAAGAACATTCCCCTCCTCAACCATCCCCCGTGATAAGTGATAGAGGCTGCACCTCAAACTCAACTATTGTCTTCACAAAGGGCAGTCAACGGATGTGGAGCCTGTATCAGGAAGGTGAAGCTGAAGAAGGCATTGACAATGCCACCTCGTTCGTCCTGGTATGTGGGGGAAGAGTACACTAGGGATTCCGCATTGTTCCCTCGATAGGGTTGCGGGAAGATCACCCTCGATCGGCAGTCAGTTTCCGCCAAGACGGAGGAGGAAGGTCTCGCCCCGATAAACATGTCCAAAGATTGGATATGCCGCCGCACTGACCAGCAGCGAAGTCTGATAAGGGGCGTCTATAACGGTAGGGATTTGGTCAGCAGATGTCTGATGTAGATGAGCGCTGACTTCATGTTTATGCCTTAGAGACCGGAAGACCATGAGGTGAAGTCATCTTCATCATGAAATGTAGCTTTCACAAGACCATGATGAGGACCAGCCAGTGGACACTAGCATCAAGCCCGTCAGAACCTTACTCCCGTCCAAATCCCGGAGCTAGTCGACTTCCCCGCAAATCCCAATGTCAAGACAACAATTTGGAGCAATGAAACCCTCCAATCATTTCATGTAGGGACGGGTGCCATCCTACTCTGAAACCACCTGGGGCACAACCTCCTTCCCAAGCGAGTTAATCTCGACATCCTCTTTGGCAGAGCCCCATGTCTCGAGCACTTCAGGGCAGAATTCAAAGCAATGGAAAGCGAAGGGGGCACTTCTGCTTGATTGCTTAGGTACAAACACCGTCCTGGAATTGCTTTGTAGCACCACCCGCCTCTGGGTTTGTTGTCTGCTTTCCTTATGCTTCATTCTGAATACCGTTTCAGGCGCGATACAGATACGAAAGTGAACTTGGACCTATCTCGCGGGAAGCCGGCCCAAATTCTGTGACTTTGGCACGGCGTCAATGAGTTCACCGCCTCCAAGCTAAACTAGGCGGTGGACTGTTGGTTAGGTACTAGCGGGACGGGATTCCCCATATTCAACTACTGTTATACTCCTGACTCCGTATGCCAGTCATGACTGACCAGAAACAGGAGCCTATAGCCCGGCCTTGGGGACACTTTATTTCCCGCTCCCGCCAGGCACGACTTCATGCGCCTTGAATCATCTCCCGAAACCGCAGCCGCCAATGGCAGACATGGGACCCCATCGAAGCACTGAGAGCCGCCTATAGTCAGATGTCATACTTCTTATCTGAAGCCCAAAACGACATTCCTTTCTCGTCTCCACATCCGCCTAGGTGTCCATCAGCTCCCAAGGACACTGCAACTTGTCTATCCCATCTTCCTATTTGCGTATAGCCTGTCTTTGGAAGTCCGTCTGAAAGCCAAGGCTCGGCCGAACTTCACTATCATGGTCTTCAGAAGGGGTCAACTTCAACTCCTATATAAGGCGTGATCCTTCTCCCTCTAACCTGGACCAAGAGATCAGCAGTGCTCTCCAGACAACTTAGTCCGCACCTCATCACCTTCTTCGCAATAATGAAGTTCCTCGCCGGTCTCTCCCTCATTGCCTCCGTGGCTTCCGCCATCAGCGTTGACTTGACTCAGCGCGGTGGTCCCCTCGACGTCAAGATCGAGGTCGTCGGCAACACCAACGTCAAGGCCAGCATCACCAACACGGGCAAGGAGCCTCTTAAGATCCTCAAGACTGGTTCCATCCTCGACAATGCTGCTGTTGAGAAGACTCAGATCTTTTCTTCCTGTGAGTTTTCCGCTTTCTGACCGCCTCTCTCCAAGGACACTTACACGTATCCCATGGACGTTTGGCATCAGACCCCTACTTTGCCCCAAAACAACTAACAGTTCCCAGCCGGCCCCGTCGCCTTCGACGGTCTTCGTCTCCGCGTCGCCGCCTCCCACCTCACCGAGGATGCCTTCCAGCTGATCGCTCCCGGCGAGACCGTCTCCGCCTCCTGGGACCCCGCGGAGGTGCACGACCTCTCCTCCGGCGGCTCATTTGACGTCAAGGTCTCCGGTGCCCTGCAGTACGCCGACGCCGACTCCGTCGAGCTCAAGGGTACCATTCCCTTCTCGTCCAACATCGTGACCGCCTCCGTCGATGGCGCCGCCGCCAGCCAGGCCCGCCGCTCCTTCCACGAGAAGCGCTCCGTCATCCAATCCGACTGTACCTCCACCAAGGGCACCGCCACGCGCACCGCCATGACCAACTGCCGCGCTCTCGCCCTGGCCGCCAGCCAGGCCGCCTCTTCGGGCGCCGCCGCTAAGATGACCGAGTACTTCAAGTCCTCGACCTCATCTACCCGCTCCACAGTCGCCAACGTCTTCGCCAAGATCGCCTCCGAGTGCGGCTCCACCACCGGCGGCTACGCCCGCTACTACTGCTCCGACGTGTACTCCGCCTGCTCTTCGGGCGTTCTGGCCTACACCCTGCCCAGCGCCAGCTACATGGTTAACTGCCCGCTGTACTTCTCGGGCCTGTCGGCGCTGAGCAAGACCTGCCATGCCCAGGACCAGGCCACCACTACCCTCCATGAGGTCACGCATCTGAGCCAGATCAAGGGCACGACCGACCAGAGCGGATGTTATGGGTATAGCTGTGTCAAGAGCCTGACTGCGAGCCAGAATCTGAACCATGCTGATACTTATGCGCTTTTTGCTAATGGTGAGAATGCCCGTTTTTCTTTCCCCTATCCCGTTGCCCGTTTCACCTTTCTTGTTTCTCGTTTCCCGTTTTCTGTTTCCCCTTCCACGAGCCTAGAACTTGGAACTAACGAACTATAATAGCTATTTACGTTGGCTGTTAAACGCGCCCCAGCCGGTTTCACTTGATCTTGGAACCAATGGGAGTCTTCAATGGGGGTTTCGGTTGAAGGTTACGTGACGTGACGCAGAGGGAAGGGAGAGGGTTGGGGCAGAGGTGTTGTTGAGCCATGATGTCGGAGTGTACCTATGTTCTCTTCTCGTTGCTTGTGCAACGTTTTGGACCACAGGTCTAGTCTCTCGCCTGTTGGATGGGTAGGGCTTTGTGGTTCACCTGTGTATAGAGGTACGGCTGGGACTCGCTACCAGGTATCTGGTATCTGGTAGCGACATAAATGAAGTAAAAGGTTGATGGTAACATTGTTCCTGTTCTCTAATGTGACTTGTGAAAGGGTTGACTGCGGAGTACTTTGGGAGTGCACAAAGGGTAGTGAAACCACCAGACGAACCAATAACACAAAATCCACATACAATGACTTCCCCCATTTCCCAACACGGACATAGAACTCCTTAAAACCTCTCGCCCCCTAATCCCTCCTTTATTCAGAGACTCCCGCCATCCACTTCATTCAAAGAACCAAGAACCAAGAACCAAGAACCAAGATGAACTACCACCGCCATCACCACCGCCTACCCCAATGCCACTTCCAACCAAAGCCAAAGACAAACGGGGGCCAGTCTCACTGCGGCCCAGGTCCTACCTCTACATGTAACTTCATCCAGATCGCCCACAGCAACCGGCACCGTATCAACCGTCTCAACCGCCCCCTTCTCCCCTCGCCCTACCAAGCCTTCCTCTCCCCCGCTCCTCCCCTACGACAACCGACCCAGCCACGATATACAACCGAAGAAATCATGGCGCATCTGGCATTTGTTTATACCACATTGGCCGAACCTGCGCTCGTGTCGACTCGGACCATATCGAGCTTTAGGGGGGCATGCAAACCGCCTGGCTACGACAACTGGAAGATATCCAACTCCAAGCGGATGCCAAGACGGGAAGTGTTGTCGAGGTGGGGGACGATGAGGCTGGGAGGGAGGAAGGCGCTGTACAATTTTGGTGAGCACTGGGGGTTATGAGGAGGGGGGGGATGACCGAATGAGGTGGAGACTGACGCAGACCTGGATATGAGAGTACAAGAAAGTGGGAGGAACGGGAACGGCGAACGGAAGGAGTGAAGTGAAGGAGATCTGCGACTTTGGGCAAGGGTGACTACACATGGCGAGGGGGATGCTCTGAGGGAGAGGTACCTTAGGGAGTGGCCAAGGTGAGAGGAGGAAGTCAAGACAACCTAACACTCAACGATGCAACGGCACTGGGGAATATACGAGACTTGGAGATGGGATGTTCGAGGCGGGATATAGGTTCCCCCCTGTTGAACTTCAACCGCTGATTCTTTTCTATCTCCCTCTCTCTCTGGCTTTTCCTTCCCGGTCGCCTCTATTTCCCGTTATTCCAGAGTCCAGACTTCAAATCTCTTTCTTATCTGCCAGTACTGCCACAGAGCTCCTTCTTGTTGATTCCTCTCCACACTTCCGGCTCACCATTTCCCTCCCTTCCTCGACACTATCAACCAACGTAAGCCTAGCTGCCTCCAACTAACGCTTACTCCTACTCGACCCACCACTCCCGCTCCATTCCGTCTCAGTATACGTCTCAATAATCTCGGTCGTAGTCTCAATCGTCTCGTAATAATGGGCATTTCCCGAGCCTGAGCCGGAACCGAAACCAGAGGTACCAGACGAGGAGGAGCCACCACCGCCGTTACCATGGCCGATATCGATTGTGGAGCTAGAGGAAGAAGAACCGCCGTCGGAAGAAGAAGAAGAAGAAGAAGAAGAAAAAGAGGCGCCACCGCCGTTGCCGCGGCCGATGTCAATTGTGGAACCGGAACCGGAGGAGGTGGATTTGTTGTCGGACATTGTGGGTTGTTTTGGGGGTTGGCTGGTTGGAGTGTGGTTGGTTGGGTTGGGTTGGGGTGGAAGTTGGAAGTTGTGCTCGGAACTTGTGGTTGGAATTTGTGTTGGTCGATGATGTGGGAATGTTTAGTATGGATGTTGATGAAATTGATGTTGATGAAGAAGGAGGATTTGACATGAAGCAGGCGGAGATAGGGGAGATTTACTCGGCCTTGAGCCAGGCTATGATGATACACAGACAGGTTGAGACTTGAGAGTGTCTACTCGCATCATGTTGTTTGCGCCAGGTATTGTGTTTCGAGCCTCCTGGTAAGTCCTGCCTCATCCCATTCCTTTTGAGGTAGTTTGACAGCTGCATTGGGTCCAGATTGGTCCAGACTTCGAGGGAAGTCTCTGTTCGGTTGTTGTTTCGATTTTCCGAGACAAGTTTGCTTTCTAACAGCAAGACGTTTGGCATCTACCTCTAGAGTGTCTGCCTCTAGAGTACAGACTCTAACAGAGCTGCGTGAAGCCCATGTCCCTGCATTGTGTTGTTTTTTTCCAACTTTTTGCTAGCCGGCTTGACAAACGCTACCTCCTGCCCATTCATAACTGGAATCACGTTTAACTACTATCATTCTGCTCTCGGTCTGATAGCCACCAAGTTCCAGCTAACTCTTTTCACTTCTAAGGCTACCTGCAATCTTCAACAGTCCTACTCTCCAGATGCCAGTCAGTTACGGCTCCGTAGCCGATGTTTCTACTACTGTAATTGTAGTAGTGACAATAATCGTTCCAGTAGCAGGTCCTGCTCCTCCTGTTCCTCCAGAATTTGAGCCAGATGATCCAGAAGTACTAGAGCCAGAACCACTAGATGTACCCGAAGAGGCGCCAGTACAGGTGGTGGTAACGGAAGATGACTTGGGTTCTTTGTCCCAGGTATGGGATGTGTTGTTTGTGCTCATGTTGGGGATGTTGGCTGCAAGAGGGCAAGCGAAGTAGAGGCAAATAGTTCACTGAAGAATGAGTCCATCTTGGAGGACGATTGGAAGACAGAAGTTTGATATCAGAGGCTGGATATTTATACCTGGGGCTTGTTTGACTCCAGTCCCGGTCTCAGAGAATCGAAAAATAGTTCGACTACGAAAAGAAGGGTGCAGCTTGTTGGTCCATCGAAGCACAATAGATGATCCACGATAACGGGGGTAAAAAGCAAGCTCCATCGCCCATTATCCATCTCCTGGTAACCAATGTACAATGATGTGCAAAGAAACACGATCACAAAAGAGATATAACTGACAGGTAAACAGAGTCTTTCCCTCACACGGATCACCATTTCCCGGTCTTCCAGTTTGTAGGCATACCATACTCCCACGACAGTTCTTGACCAAAAGCAACCACGAAACCATCACGATGACCTCCTCAAACACTTCTACTTCCAACACCACCACCTCCTCCTCCACTCAAAGTGGCTCTTCCTCCAGTAACACATCTTCACCAACCTCAACGAACGAAAACAAGTCTACTTCGACTTCCACTTCCTCCGGCTCCACCAATACTTCGTCTAACACCAGTTCCTCCTCTGACCCCTCGGAAGCGTTTGACCGTATCAGGATTGAGGGAGCGATGCAATACTGGAGGACGAAGAATGGTTGAATGAAGGAAGGAACTGGCAGGAGGCAAAAGGAAGAGAGAAGGAGTCGGGTAGATGACAGGCAATAGCAGACGCATGGAATATCGGCTTAGGGAGCAGGAAGTGGGGTAGTATGACTGCGAAGTGGAAATATCATAGGCTGGCTAGCTAGTAGAGGAAAAAGTGTATTCAGGAATCATGCATGTTGAGATTTGCAGCGCCGTCATGTTATGTCAGCTCCTTTTGCACTTTCTGCAGCAGCAGCTTTCTTGCAGCGATGTAGCACCACTGCAGGTTTTGCATGTGTGTCCCTGTCTTCGTACCGGTACTCGACCGCTCTTTTCCGTTGGACCTCAAACATGAGCCCCTCCTCGCTCCTGTCATTTCACGTTGTTGTCACTAGGTACAACTGCATTTCTCTCCAGTCACCAGTATCATCATTTCCGCACATTAATGGGGAGAAGATCATTCAAGGAGAAAAGTTGAATTCCCTTCTTTGCTGTAGGAATTTAAACTATCAATTTCTCTGGTTCATTGTCGTCGCCGTGGCCAATATCAACGACCGGTGCCCACTACCCATCCCTCGGTTTCCAACAAGTCTTCTCCCTAGTGTCCATGGCCCTTTCTCCTTCTCCCGATTATCATTCCAACAAATGCCCACCCGTTACATCACCCACCTCACCTACCTGTCCCTGCGTAGAGACAATCTCACTCACTTTGACCCCGTCCCTGAGGACCCAGAGGACCCAGATGAGCCGGAAGACCCAGAGGACCCCGATGAGCCGGAAGACCCAGAGGACCCGGATGATCCCGAGCTGCCAGACGAGCTAGAGGAGCCAACCGAGACAGAGGGACCAAAGGTACCATAAATACTTGCGCCACCGGTGTTGGGGCCCGCGGGTGCTGGTTGGCTTTCTGGGTTGGACATTGTGCTTGGTTTTGGTTTTGGTTTGGTTTTGGGTGGTTCTGGTGTTGGTCTTGAATTGATATTGGTATTGATATCGATTTAGGAAGTTAAGGATGAAGTTATCGCTATGGTTGGACTGTAGTGAATGAGGTACTGATGGAGTTGTGAGGGTGGCGAGAAATGAACATTTATACAACCTCAACGGCGGAGATATCGTGGTTCTACTGTACTAGGAGCTTTGCTACGATATATGGTACCTCTATCTGATACAGTTCATTAGCATAGAATGTCTGGGTAGTTTGTTCTTTTTCAGCAGACTAGACTCGCTGTTCTACCCGATAACAACCATGCTTGCCCTCGAGCAAATATCATGTGGGGTTTCTTCACGAGTTTGTCGAAGTCCAGAATGTAGAATTATGTAAAAAGTGTCGAAGGGAATAAAAGGCAACACTAGGCCATGGTGGACAGATTGGGCAAATTCGAATAGAACGGCTTGATTGCTTCATAAACTAAACGAATGGTTCACTGCGGGTCAATTCCGTGTTCTACTCTGAGGTTTGCATGCTTCCTGTCTGGGACTCGAAGGCTCTTTCCCGCTGGACTTCAACATCACTGGAACTTGGAGCTCGTTGCTCCTGCCATTCATGGTCTTTAGGATTACAAACAATATTCGTAGTTTACAGTGGCACCACATCGTATATCATCCCCCATTGTCGCGCGTGTTTTTATAGTTTTTTCTGTCCTACATGTTGTTTGACTTGAAAATTATACTCGCCTTTAATCCCTTCCGCCATCTCCCTTCCATATCATGATTCCTTCTAGTCCTCCGCTAACATCATGCGCTGTGATAGTCCCAGTTTACAAATTCGTCGTCGGCGAAGTGACGGTGGTGACAGTGGTAGTGAAAGAATACCGGTGGAGGGGGCAGAGCCCGTCCCTTGTGTTCCTCCGGAGCCCAACGAGCTGGAGGAGCCAGATGAACCAGTGCTGGGAGCCGAAGGTGCGCTGCTGGAGGTGCCTGAACTAGACATCCTGATTGGTTCTGTCGTTAGGGTTCTGAATTCGTTGTAGGTCTGGTTAAATTGAGCAATGGCAAAATAATGGGATTGTGGTTAGTGTATGGTGGATGTTGATGCAATGAAGACTCACAGGCTGTTAAGAACCGGGTATTTATAGCAATTCCAGGATGTCATTGCCCCACAAAGTTCAGTTTTTGCATACCTTGTGTCTGGTTGAATCTGTGATAGAGTGTCTTCTGTGTGGTACGGTGGTGCTTGGCGTTCTACTATCGAACTGCTGACCACGAATACACTCCCGTGGCTGCGATCTCTACTTGCGAAAAGCCGATGAAAGACAACATTGGGTCATGATCTTGATCAAAAAAAAGGAAGAGTAAGGTAGCTCTACGTAAAGATTGTTTGATTGCAGTGATCACCACTGAATGCATGAAGGCCTGATGATGAATACAAGACATTCGGGCTCGGTCCCACGAAGCTATTTCTACCTAGGTACCTACCTGCTCCTACACTATTGTCTGCATGCATGCACAAGACCAGGATTTCTTTCGCATCCAGACACCGCCTATCGACTGCAACTACTCGGCTAAACCGTCATCCGTCAAACAGCAAACATGTCGTCATCAACGCACCCCAATACATCCTCCTCAACCTCTTCTTCAACCAACAATCCTTCTACTTCCACAACACAAATCAGCTCCTCATCGGGTTCTTCATCCACCCCGTCGACAACAGCAATAAAAGACTTTGCGACCAGCGGTAGTTCTACATCCACCAATACGGTCAACACGGGCTCCTCATCGTACCCGTCAGCGTCTTTGGCCGGTTGAACCTCGGGAAATAGGAGTTTCGATTCATGAGTGAGTGATGATGTAGTTACGGTGTACTTACGAAGGGAATTTGGTTAACACTGTAGTGCTGATGGCACATGATAGGATAGGCCACTAGCTAGAAATGAAAGGGACGGACAAGGGAAAAGCCGACCAAAAAGAAAAGGGGGGGAGAAGGGATTGGAAAGAATGGGATGGGACGACCAAGGCACAAGATCACCTTCGTTCCATGGAGTCACTAATAGACCATTCAAAGCAAGTTCATGTTCTCATTCCCGTGTTATGGTACCAGTAGTATATCTCTCACCCTTTCTCCTTGAAGTCCATTCAGTACCTCACGATTCCTGCCCAAACCAAGCACCCCCCTCTCAGCCTCCATGTCGACTTGGTTCCCTCCCATTCCCCCTCATTCCTACTCCCCCCATCCTCTCAAGCCATCAACCACTCTTACTAAAAACTAAACAACCCCTCTACCACTCCCCCATCATCCCATGTCAGTGTCAGCGTCACTCCATGTTCTCCCACGTTCTCCCACTTTCCCGAACCAACCAAATACCTCCCTCCTATCAGCCCCTGGGCTCGTACTTCTTCTTCTCAATCTTCTTGTCCTCCTTGGGGTCAGTTGTAGTGATCTCGCTCTCGCCGATGGTAATGGCGGTAGTATGCTTCTTTTTGGTGGTCTTGGTGGTCTCGGGGACGGTACCACAGTGAGTAGACTCCTTGGTGGCGGAGACGGAGACGCTTCCGGTGGACTGTCCGGAGGCGACGTTAGAGATGTCAGAGGTGGAGGTTGGGTTGGACATTTTGGGTGTTGATTGGTGGGGGTTTTTTGGGTTGGGAGGCGGGAGTTTTGGTTGATGGATGGGGTCTTGTGGCAGAAGTGTAGATATGGAAGAAGTGTGATTGTGGATGTGATGCGGATGTTGAGGCTGATGATGATAAAGGATTCGACTTCCAAGATGGGCGGGAGCTGGGGTAGTTATACCTCACGAGAGTCTCCCTTGCAAGCCACGCGGTAGAGGGTATGGATGGAGTTCGTTTGTTCTTTGCGGTGCTCACCGATGTTTCTCCCACTTTCGGTCTTGGAGATCTGACACTCGTTCATCGGCGTCCACTCGGTCATGTCTCAGAAACAAACATCGTGCTCATCGGTCGAGGACATGGGTTCGAGGGTAGGGTGTTTCTACTGTCGTCCCAACAATTAGAAACAGCTTTGCCGCCAACAACCTCCATATCCCACATCACACAATGCCTCGCCGTTTGAACGTAGAAACATAAACTTGAAGTGATGCGAGCGAAACGCCGGAAGGGACGGAACCGGAGAACAGCCAAGAGGCCATTCCTTTCGCAGTCGGTTGCTCTCCAATCGATCTCGCCCATCATTCCAATCTCGAAGTCAGCCGCCGGTAATCTACGATAGAGGGTTCAATATCGCAAGAACGAAAGACAGCACCGCGCAAAGTGAAACTGCCACTTCGGGGACTTGTGTCTTGGGATTATCCGGAACTGATGAATCCAACTGAAACGATCTCGAACAAACAAACAATCAAAGATTCCCTAACCGGAAAGCCGTAACCAAGTCAAACCAACAACGGTGAACCCATACCGACGGGAGTTAGTGTATCTCGATTGTCGTGATCAACGAGGCTCTCATGCCACGATTGACAGGTATGGAAACGGATGTTGAGCAAACTTGCTATTGGGCCAGTTGAATGAATTCGAGCAAACTTCCTGTCGTGCCGGGTCAATGAATGAATCATGAGAGAATAATGTATCAAGCCTTTCCACTTCTGAGTCGGGTGACAAATGACATATGACAATGTGTGATTGGATTCCATCATACCATTTGAATCTTGACAAACCTGTCACCGCAGCCTATCGGCAAATCTATAAGACCCCGTACGATCCTGTCACAATTCCAAGAGCTGTTTGTTCCTCATCAGCATCAGCACCAAAATCCAATATCACACTCACTTCCCACATCAAATCCCACATCAGATCTCAACCCATACACCCCGCACAACATAAACAGCAACAATGGGCGTAGAAGACTGGATCCCCACTTACCACCCGTCTGGTACTTCTGGAGCCGAGAGGGCCGGCAAGACCAAGGATACTCAAGCCCCTACGGCGAACCCTAGCAACAACTTTTGCGACAAGCATGGTTTCTTACCCACTTCTGACGGTGGAAGCTCCGGTGTTCCAACGGTAACTGTGGAACACACCACCAGTGCTGAGCTGCAGAAGGAGAAGGAGGATGAAGCCAAAGTCAAGGAGGAGGCCAAGTGAGTGCGAGTGTTGGAACTCCTCAGGTGAGAAGGGGAATATGGACATCAGTGTGGTATAAGTCTAGGGGCAAAGAATAGAATGTGAAGGGGAATAGGAACTGAGTGAGGAACAAAGAAGCTGATGCATGGCTCAGACGCTTCGAGATGACAATAGCTTCCCCATGTGAAAAACACGTGAGCTTACGACATCAAACAACCCACATCGCAATCAGGAACCCAGTCATTGTCTTTGACAGTATTTATCATTATCTCTTTGTCCTTTGTAAATGCTCATTGCATCATAGACATCTAACGGCAGCTACGTATACACAACTGGCTTGCCGGCTCGCTGGCTGGCTACATAACTCCATCACTAACATTAGGTATCATCGCTTGTCTTTAACATGGGTATCCAGACAGAGACCGTTTCCCGGTTCTCTGCATCCTCCTCTCTCTTTCTTCTTCACCGTGGTATCATTTGCAAATGCGAAAAAAGAAAACACCTTCTCCCGTCTAGTTCTTCTCGTTGAGAGTGACAGGCTGAGGGGCAGGAACCTGAGTAATGGTGTCCTGACCCTGGGCCTTGTCACCGTGCTTGTTTGACTCCTCATCACTGCTGTTGTCGGACTCCCGTTCCATGTCGCCAAAGCCGGTGTTGATGACGAACTCCTCGTTGTTGAGGTGCTTGAACGTGAACCAGAAGACAACGGTCAAGACAGCACCGGCAATGGTAGGACCGGCGAAAGCCCATACAAGGTAGGGGTCCTGAATGGCGGAGGAGGTGGCGAGACCAATGGCGGCGCTGATGGCAGTCATGAACAGGTTGACAGAGGTGACGAGACCCTTCATGTTCTTGGGGGAGCGGGAGTAGGCAATGGTGTAGGCAGTAACGTTGACGAAGACCTCGGAGGCAGCAGTGACGACGATAGGGAGCGCGTAGAACCAGTAAGAGATGTCAGAGAGACCATCCTCGCCCTCGGCGACTCTCTCCTGGCAGGTAGTGGCATACTTGCCGCAAGGAGAGGTCTCGTAGACGAAGTGCTGGAGGAGAGGGAAGCCCATGGAGCCAATAGTGCAGAGAGCGAAACCGAAGGTCATACGCGAGATGGGACCCCAGTGGATGCCCTTTCTGCGCATAAGAGGATAGATGACGTGGTTCATGAGAGGAACGACTGCAGAGTTTGTTAGCTATACTCGAGTTATAACGCGATCAAGAAGGAAACGTACTGATGACAATGGTGACGGAGTTGAGGTTGTCGAGCAAATCGTTGGGGACACCGTTAGTCCTCATACCGGCGGAGAGGGCGTTGGCAGCAGCACCGAGGGCACCGTCGTTGATGTAGTAGATGGGAAGGAAGAGGAAGATACCGCAAGCCTGGAAGGTACGGCGGACATCCTCAATGAACTGATCATCATAGTCGTAAACCTTGGTGCTACCAGCAGCAGCGCGCACGCTGGGCTTGGCAACTTCCCAGAATCCCTTGCGGCCGATGGACTTGAGCCCACCGTGCGCGAAGCAGTCACCAAGAACGCGGAAGACATTGCCCAAATCGGAACCGCCAGGAGGCTGCTTGACAAGTCTGGGGTTAAGGTACCACAGAAGAGGAGGAAGCAGAAGGTAAAGAATGGTAGGAATCAGGTAGGCAGCCCAGTAGCCGATAAGCTTGGCCAGATAGGTAGTGGGGATACCAAAGCAGGCACCGACGTTGATGAGAAGGTAGAACCACAACATGACGCTGTTGAGGGACTCCTCAGGGTCGACAATGACGCGCTCGCCATCCTGCTCGATAACGTGAGCAACCTTGTGGGGGGACTGGTCCATGACGGTGGGCGAAATGTTGGGCTTGAACTGGGCGGCGCCAATGGAGAGCATGTAGAGCGAGAGGGCGAAGGGACCGATAGCGTTACCAGAGGTGAGGACAGGAGGAAGAGCCGAGATGATCATGATAACGTGGGCAACACCGCAAATGGCGACACCCTGGCAAATCATGCGGAAACGACCATACTTGGTATCGGCGAGCCAGCCGAAGAAGATGGGGAGGGCATACGACAGGAACTTGAAAGCTTCCGTCATGGCGGTGGCAGTGACGGAGCCCCTGCCGAGAGCACCGGCCGTGTCGTTCTTGTCGAGGACAGCGGCACCGGTTCTGGAACCCTTGGGCAAGGGAGCACGGATGAAGTTCTTGTAGACCTGGAAGCAGCCGTAGTACGAGGCACGCTCGGCGAACTCGACGGCGCAGAGGTAGTAGCATTCGGCAGGCATCTTTCCGGCCACACGGCGGAGCGTCTTCTTCTCCTCCTCGGTGGGCAGGATAAGGCCGTGGTATTCCTCGCGGACATCTCCGCCGTTGAGGCTTTCGCGGCCGGCGTTGGCGTAGGCGGGAGGGGCCTTGAGATCTTGCGACGGGCGCACCTCGCCGATAGGGCCGGCGGCGGTCGGGACAGTGGTGTTAGTCTCCGCTGCATGTTTGTCAGTGCGTGCCCGGTAGACCTAAGCAAGGGATAGTGGATGTTGAGACATACCCATGATGATGGTGGATGAGGATCCTCGTGGAACTTTGAGGCTGGATCCTAATACGATGCGACGAGTGAACGAGTCTCTCGATACGGAAAGAATCAAGAGGAACTGGAGAGAACATGAGGGAAGGAGGGAGGGCAGCTCTCTTAATATTACTTCCACTTCTTACTCGGGGAAGGTGAGGTCCCGTCGCACCTGCTCTTGCCTTGTCTGAAGTAGATTCCCGTCTGGGTAACACCCATCCTGGACATGGGTACCTCGCCGTCATGGAGGGGACCAATTCGCCGTTCGCGGTCTGGTTCCTGTTCTTGGGGATTCCTGGCAATCGATTGGTGATGGGATCTTGGATGGTTGCAATTCCTCTCTTCTGATTCTGTACCGACTCGGCAGGTGGGAGACTGTGTCGGAGAGGTACGTACTGCCGCTAGCATGGCGGACGAATGCAAGACCAGACTGGCCCCGGCATGGCACCTGCTCTGGGCAGGTCCTCGAGGGAGCATCGCTTGGCATCTACTTGGCCGTCGCTTGGCCCCCGTCTTGGCGCATCCCTTAGCAGCGACTCCCTTTTCTACTCAAGCTTCTCTTGGGATTCTTTGCACTGTCTGCCCAGAATAGCTGCTGGTGTTCGCTTTCGAAACTACGAGACACTCGCTGTTTTCAGAACACAAATGCTGCAGTGACATGCAACCAACAACAGCTTCCATTCCAGTTGCCAAACCAGCACCGGACTCACACCTTATCAAAGTTCAATCAATGCATCGCATCGCCATGCAGTGTTGTGGTTCTCGCCCTAACCTTGGAATTTGGTGTTGGTCATGTGGTGTGGTTACATTTGGCCTTGTCAATCCAATCAGGGCCACCTGATTAACCTTCTTTTTGCCTTTTTCCACAGTGTCCAGCAGTGATCCAACCGTTTTCCTTGAGATAGCGGCGCTGTCCTCGAATGGGACGCCCAGGGGCTTGCAGCAGGGATCAAAGGCGCCATAGACATCATGGCCAGCCGACATGGGGGGCCACATCGTGGGGTTACCCGTTAAGGAAGGTGACTTGAACTCGAGATCTCCAAAGAGGGAGGTGATGTTGCCTCCTATTCAGCTCGGATTCGAGAGACTGTTCTGTCTGTCAGGATTCCCATCGAGAGTTTGCTGTTGGTTCTTTCTTGTGTGAACATTGGTTGTTGTTGTGGTGGTGGTGGTTTGAATCGCCTCGTTTCCCTCTCGGATATTCCGTCCGTGATATCATTTCCATTGTTCGAAGAATGCCTCCCGGAGCAACAGTGTGCCACACCATCACGAACTCGGTGCCGCGGTTGTGGCCTCGTTCTTGATATTGCAGGTGTGTGGTGTCGCCATGTTGGTCCGAAACAGCGCTGTGTCTTCGGTGATGGAGGTTCAAATTGGCAAGTGAAAAGGAGTGGTTTGTCACGCAATACTGGAGCCCTCTTGGCATCATCGGCGCACTTTGGAGAACGCCGTAGGCGAACTGGACAGGCCCAAATGAAACCGAACAATATGTACGGGATATTGCCACCCGAGGTTGACGCCATGTGCGAAATGTCACCATGTCAAGTGTCAGTTGTATCTTTGACACCCGGAAGGATGTTATTGATGTTCGTGTTATTTGTCAATTGGCGACTCGAACCGCCACCACCTCTGTCATGTTGCAAGACATCCAGAACCGTTCGATGGTTCTGATATCAACCCGTCGTCATGGCCGAGAGGCGTTGCCGAGTTCGGGATTAAGGGCAAAATCCGGGGTAAGAATGATTTGCAAATAAGGGATGGAAGATGGCACAAACGGATGATTTACGCACTGTCGTCCATCTCGTGGTGTTGATGGCCTCATTTGTGCCGTGTTTTCCGTTATTCCCTTTCCCATCGCCGCCCAACCTTCTCCAGTGATCACCTTCCTGTTTCCACCTTGCCCGCTGGTAGGTTGTTGGCGATAAGGTTTCCTGGGTAGTCTACCGCCTCCTCATTTGCACACGTGCAACGTGGAACTGTACGGGGGAGGTGGTAGGGGACCTCGGGGACCTGCTAGGTGTACAGTAGAACAGTGGAACATTTCCACCAAACACTGAGCACGGGCCGCACAACCTACCTCCATGCAACCACCACCTGGACCGCAACACCTCTCAGAACCACCATCATCGACATTCATCTTCGGGACAAGACACAGATGATGCACGCCGAATCAGCCTTATGAGTATTTGATATCGAAGAAAATCCCAGCACCATGGTAAAACCTCGAGCAGGGGAGCTCGGGGAGGCAGACTGTCGACGCCGTCCCGTGCCAATCCTGACCATCAACGTGCGCGCATGGCGGTATGCGTGTCCAAGATGCATCCAAAGACGCGGCTCTCGGTTCATGCGTTGCATCCAGATGCCACTGTTGCTCTTTTTTTTTTCAGTCCGAGATGTCCTAAGAGTCCGAGTTTGTGATCTGCTGAGTGTTGTGCCCGTCTCAGTCCTCTCTACTGCTACCCCGCCCGTTCACGGACATTGAAATGGAAACCACAACCTCAAACAGCACGTGAGGAAGGCATACTGAATCAAGTCTCGGACATGGACGCTATTGAACGGGATTTGATCCGCGAGGTGCCCTAACAGTAGAATCCTCTGGTGTCCTACCTCATCTCAACTCTCCTCAACTTTTCCACAACAACATAGTAGACATCACCAACATGGTTACTCAGACCTGACAAACCACCAACCTCCAATTCTCACATGCATTCACAATCCTTTGTCGTCAATAGCCTCGACGTCTCACTCTCCCAACATCGTACCAGCTCACCCCGGAAAACCCTTAAATTAGCTTAGCTCTTATGCTAAAGCACCCCACATGGACCAACGTCTAGGCGCCGCAGCCATTGCGCTGGGCATTTTCTAGGCGTTCTGGGCGTTGAAAAACCTAACGCCAGCCAAGGACCGGCCAAGCATTGAGGCTATTCAGCGCTGATTGGTCGCGTGTGAGCCTCATCACCAAACACAAAACCAAGAGTGGAACCAGCAGCCATTTCCATGACACTTCGGTTTGATGCCGGATTAGGAAGGTGTATGTAAGTGGGCGAGATGAGCGGAGGAACAGTCCAGCCCAAGGGTTTCCTGAATGGACCCGATTCCTCCACTGACCTGACTCGAGAATAAGGAAGGCTGGGATTTGGACAGTGAACTTGTTGCACTATTCAAGTCCACAAGGCTCAAGATCGAACTTGATCCAAACAATGGGAGCACGTGGTTTCCTTCCTTCTGGGATCCCCAGAGGCACTCGAGATTTCGAGGTCTTGGGAGCTTCGAATTTCAATAGTCGCGTGTTCGATGGAGACGGATATGGAGAAGAAAGGCTGGGAAAAGCCCAGGATCAACTCGGACGAGGAACCATCAACTTCGCTGGCGGTTTGGCAACTTCCACCTCCCGAGTACGATCTCGTTGCCCCTTTCCACTTGCATCCCTACCTACCATCGCCCATCTCACGGCTCGGAGGACTATCACAGACTGGAACCAATCACGAACTGTCCCACGTCCCAACTGCTCGGAACAACAGGTCTTCTCAAGATAGCGGAAGCACTCTGACGAAGCCGTGAGAGTGACAGGTTGCACTCGGCCTGATATCCAGACACTCACCATATCGCCTTTATGTTTCTGCCTGGACATCTTCCCTACCATTTCACCTCACAACATTGAACACCGGGTTACTGGGGTTGCAGTCGGCTAACTGAGGCAGCAGCATAATGTTCGGTAACCTTCCTTCTTCTGTTGCAGACTTCCAAGCAGCTTCCTGGAGTGGTAAAGAGCGACAATCCTGCCTCTAGTGAGGAACGCAGTAAGCCCTAAGGAATGCTTCGGGTTTAGGGGTTAAATGGTCGAGTCGTTGAGCCTACCACACCTCGTTGGAACTTGGTTGTGACCGCGGGACACCTACACCACCTCCAAGTGGGATAATTAACAGGTGTGATCTTACTGAAACTGGTGTAGGTGTGAGGCTCAGTGTCAAGCATCAAGTGGCCGACATGCACAAGGGAAGTGATACACACTCCCCGAAAGCTATCAAACTCCAGATACTCGTTCAGGTTTACGGAAGACACTGTAACCGCAACTCATAAACTGTCTCCAAAGGTCACCCAACCCCTAACATCGCTCAATCTTCGACAGCGCTTTAGTGCTTGCCAACACATCTCACCCGTTGGACGAGCAAGTGCACCGCTCACCGCTCACTCCTCGTATTAAGTGGCATCGTCAGTGGCTTCACTTTCCCCCTAGGCGTTTTTCGTGATAGGAAACCGAGTATGTGGATGGTAACACTTCGTTACAGAAGTCACTTGACGGGAAAGAGACGAGTATTGTGCCGCCGCACATCGGACACATGTCGCTTGTCAACCGGAACACAAGCATACCAGAACCCGACACTACATGCGGAGTAACGGAGACCTGAGGCTTTCTTTCCACTGTTTTGCCTTCCTTAAACTGTAGTCTTGGAGTTGGACATGACTTGCCTCAAAGTCGTGGTTGATACTGACGCTACCACTATCTTCGTCTGACCAGTCCTCTTTGACACTCCGGATTCACGGTCAACACTTGAGCATTCGCTCCCAGGGTACAGATATCAATGCATTATACGCAAGCTACTACTTCACCTCATAGGTACACGACACACACCCTTGTTCATCCCGTTTCCATAACCATCACCGCCCACCGACCTTTATCAACACCCGACCATCTGCCATCCCTCATTCACCCTCTGCTATCCCTACCTCCACCAGGCACGACACTCACTTAGGAGGATCCCCCAAAGGCACGTACCTCACCCCAAACAATCTCCTCATACTAACCTCCCCACCCTCATCTTTCTTCACCTCCCACACATGCTGCTGCAAACCCATCTCATCATCATCAACCGGGACAAACATGCGTCCAGGACTCCTCAACTGATCCACAAGTTCCTTATGAATTTCTTTGGCAGAAGCCCCAACGTGGATAGCATCCCACTTCCCTTCATCTTTGTCCTCTCCCTTTCTTTCTCCTTGCCCCTCAACTTCGCCCATAGGAGTACGCTCGTTTACCGAAGAGCGCCGGCGGGCGGCGGTGGAGGCGTGGCTGTCTGTCGAAGCAGAATCGGAAGTAGCTTCTTTCCAACCTTTACGACCGTCGCCTACTCGGAATCGGACTCGTCCACTTTCCAAAAAGTCTCGACCCTCCTGCGACTTGGCATATTTCGAGCGCCGAGGTCTCGTAAAGCGGGTATGTGCTCTAAACCAACGACCGTTCCGCCCTCAGAGCCGACTAGCTCGGCGATGACGTGGGTGAGGTAGCCAGACCCCGATCCAATGTCGAGGACGCGGGGGGCGGGGCGGGTTGGGGAGGGGAGAATCGATGGGAGGAGGTGCTCGATTGCTGAGGCGTGCATGTGGGGAGCGCTGATGGTGGCTGAGTGGCCGATTGGTTGGGGGGAGTCGGAGTAGGGGGATGTGGGTGAGTAATGGGCTCTGTCGACCTGTTTTGTCTGTTAGTTTCTACTGTGATGAGGGAAGTTCGCGCAATGTGTGTGTTAGATGGGCTATAAAGGGTGTTGGATGATCAAGTGAGATTGCGAGACCATGGAAATGAGTGCCGGTCAAGACTACAAGTGAAGAGACATCGTGAAATCGAGGCCAGGAACAGCTCAAGGCGTAGAATAATCCCTGAAAGAAACAGAGGTCGGTGGCCTCGGGAACGAAAAAAAACGGACAACAGATGCTACAGGAAGGGGGCTCTCGAAGGCTCGCAAACAAAGGAGTACTGAGAAAACACACAAAAACACTGACAAAACCCAAAGAGCACAGAAAAATCGAACAACACAATCTCTATCGCGACGACCTCAAATCACCACAGGAAGACAAGTAGATCCATCCCACAGCAACAGCCAAAGCCCCAGCCAGAGTCAGAGTCTGAGCCAGAGCCAGAGCCAGAGCCAGAGCCAGAGCCAGAGCCAAATCAGGTCATCAACCCCCAAAAGGAAAAACGAACCGACCACAGAAACCCAGGCAGCTGCGGTTAGGCAGGCATCATCCGGCAATAGCACAGAAACATAGAACTAGGTACCCCAAAAACCAGAACGAACGACGAAGAACGAAGAACTACTAACGAAGAACTGGGCAACAAGAAAAGCCGGATTGGGACAAACCTTCAAAAAAGCCTCCTTAACCCTCTCATCTTTAATCAACTTATTCCTCCACAGATTCTCGATCAGCTCCGAGTTGCTCACGCCGGATGAGTGCCACGCCATGTTGAGGTTTTGTTTGAGAGTCGACCACTTGAAGCGATTGATTGCCGTTGTTGTCAAACTCCTGCTCTGCGTCGTGGTAGAGATCGGTCCTCGGTTGATGCCGCAAGCTGACGATGGCTTGATATCGGATGGACAACTGCTAGGAGGAAACGTGTTGAGAAACGGGTAGGTGGCGCTGGCGACAGCCGCGAAGAAAGTGGTAATGATAGTTAGAGTAGGTTTCGTTTTGGTGATGGTCGTTAAACGTAAAGGTAGGAGGGGTGCGAGACGAGATGGCATTCGTGAGAAAAAAAATCGGAGAGGTCAGGTAGGTAGGTAGGTAGGTAGGTTGTGAGATCACAAAGTAAAATTACGGAGGCTCCTAGGACGATGATAGATACCTAGACAAAGAAAGAGGGGAAAAAATGCGAGCACCCCGCCCGCTTTGAATGGATCGCGGGTAAAGGAGCTGGCAAAAACGTGTGTGTGAGTGTGATAGCTGCCGAAAGAGTTTAGATGTTATTTGATGTTATTCAGTGAGGAAAGTCGAGGCAAAAGTTGAAGTATCAGGAAAGATGAACACGAGGGAAACAAGCCACCAATTAATCGCGGTAGCAACGACGGTTACCCCGTCCTGCCCCGTCCTTATAATTATCACCTTCCCATGATTACGATGATGAAGCATTGACGTTAACCGTTTATACATCTGATGTAAGATTGTAAGATCCTGGATCCACTACACATGCATGTCCGTGTTCGTCAACGCGGCACCTCCTGCCTGCATGGATCACCGGCACCTGACCATCGACCGAAGCGAGAACTGCGAGGGAAAAGAGAGGGGCAAGCGTGCGGGGGTTGAATTGCTGATTACATACCCCCCGTCCGGTATCATGATATCGTTATCCGGCCGATGGCCAATCTTGAAACCTATGTAAAGCGATGGTAAAAAGAGTGTAGGATATGCGGACGGTAAACCCCAGAGCATCATCATGAACCGCTGAACATTTGTTTCTTTGTCGACATTGCACTCGACGAGTCGTGATCTAGCTGAAGGAATAGCAGGTATCACATAGTCAATGGAGAATGTCAAGAGGAAGATACGCATGCCCATTGACAAGAACGGGGGATCTCGATGAGAAAACCAAGCCAGCCTTTTCTCAATCGCTCAAATGATTGCTTTGCTTTGAGCGTATGAACAAACCGATCATCATCTAGACTAGCTCAAGGAACAGGTACCTAGGAACAGAGTCAATGCAATAACTGAACAGAGGATCAGAAACAAAAACATGATACCACACCATTAAAATGCTTGCTTGACATGAGGAAAACGACATAGGGAAGAATGAAGAGTAGAGTAGGATGACCGTTTTCGTATGTACGCGCGCATACTGCGCTGTGCGTTCCTGTACGTAGGAACAAAACCCCTTCCCTTCGCTCGTCTGTATGTCCGTAACATCCACCCAACCCATCCTATCCCATCACTGCCCATCACTGCCCATCCATCAACCCCGATATAGCCATAGCGACAGTTATACCACCCGCTCCGGCGCCTCCCCTGTAGCAATTATCGGAATCCCCAACCCTCTATCCGGGCTCTGCAGCACCAACATCTCATGCCTCCTGACCTTCAAATAATCACTAACGCTCTTGATCAAGATAAACCAGCCGGCCAACATAAGGATATACGCCACCCAATCGCTCGAATCTACCGATCCCCAACTGTCTCCTCCCCTGTTATCGTCCACCTGGCCCGGGTCAAAATCGTGCGAGTTCGGATCTGGCGGGGCCGTGTAACCCGATCCATCATCGGCGCCGGAATCTTGCGTGCCCTTCATCATGAAGCCGAACTGGATCAACGTGATGCCCAGGCCGGCGCGCGATCCGTTTTTGGCGGCGTGGGTGGAGTGCAAAAGGTAGGTGAGCAGGAAGCCGACGAGCTGGAAGGACATGGAGATCATGCCATTCCAGATGAAGGAGACGATGGAACCGACGGGCATGCCTTCGATGTAAACGTCGTCGGGCCCGCCGAGGCCGGGGGCGAGGATGGTGGTTTCCCAGTAGGGAGGGGCGGCGTCTGCGGCTGCTTGTTCGTAGGACTGCGATTTGTCTGTTAGCATTCGTGTTTCAACGCTTGGCGTGAGGGGGATTACGTACAGGAGGCAACTCCTCCTTCTCAGCGCCATTATTTCGTTCCGGCTTGGCTGTCAAGTTCGAAAAGACACCTTCGTTCTGGATACCACCACCGTAAACCCTTCCTGACGGCCGCGTCGTTGATCCTCCCGCTGTCGCCGTGTATGGTGTAGCTGGTAACTGTGTTGTTTGCCTTTCCGGCCCGGGCCTCGAACTCCCTCCGGATGTCACGTCAGTCGATCCCGCTGCCCCGGAGGCGTCCGTCGGCGAAGAGTTCCGTCGCATCAAGCGCTGTCTGTCGTCGGCGTCATCGTCGCTGTCGTCGTCATCTTCGTCGGCGCCAAAGGCATCGGCGAGGTCGGGATTCACGGGGCGTTGGTTGTTGTGGATGGAGGAAGCGCGGGAGTGGAAGGATGGTGGTGGCGAGTTGGGAATCGATGGTCTCGACGTAGGGTTGTTGGTGGGTGTTGGCGTGTCGTTGTGATGGTCGTCATCGTCGTCGGCTTGGGCGTTGACCTGATGGGTATTGTTAGAATGACGAGAGCTGAGATGTGGTGGTGATGATGGGCGACAACGTACCCTTTCGTAACGGGCCGACATGGTGACGGAGGTCTGGGGATGAATCGACTGGTGTCTTTCTGTGTCGCGCGCACGCTGTGTGTTGAGGTTGACGATTGGTGATGTCGAAGGTGGTGTTTCAGGATTCAGGAACCCGTCTCGTGGACAATGCGCGAAAGATAAGGAAGGCGTCTTTTGTTGTTGATGGATGATGATCAATCAGGATCAATGGAGATGGGGAAATGTCCACTGCACTTCAAAGATGCCGGTTGCTGTCAAGGTTCTCCTGCTGACGTCGCCACTGTGTATGCAGGGCACCGCACTAATTCCCGGTGGGCTTGCAGGGAGTCTGTCGCGCGTTGTTTCGGGTATTCAGGAGTAGAAAAGGAGGAACCGATGCGACTATGGAGTCAAGGAAGGAGAAAGTGGAACAAAGAGAGCGGAAGTCGGATCGAACAAGAGAATAGGAGATCGGATTTGGTAGTGTCTAGAGTCAAGTTGTTGTCGTCAAAGAAAAGAAGAGAAATGCGGTCGTCGAGTCGATACAAAGAGGGACAAGGAAAAGGAACTAGGTAGGAACACGAAAAGGAGTCGTAATGAAACTGCTATGACAAGCGAAGCAACAGAGTGTGAGAACAGTGTCAAGGGCTCAAATGCGACTATGCAAATGATGGTTGCGACGAGACGAGACGTTGGACCTCGTTGGCCTCTTGAACTCGATTGTTGAAGAGAGGAGAAGGCGGCAAGGCGCTGTCACTTCCTGTCCTCACTCTCAAGTCTCAAAGTGTCACTCCAGTTGAAACAAGATGGCAGCTGATCAAGCGGGATCACCGCCAAGAAGCCACAGCAGCCAAGACCCTGAAATGATGTGCTGAAGCGACACCCCAACTCCCAAGCGACTGCGCTATTGGGAAATGTGGAATTGCATGGACGAGCGGAGACGAGCGGAGATGGTTCGTGAACCATTGTGGCTAATACTGGCATTGGAAACGTGGCTTGAATGTACCCGAGAACAATTGGTATCACTGTATGTGGCTCAAGCTCTCAGCGTCAGATCGACGCTTGGCGGGTGCGGAGCGGGTCATCCATCGCTTCTGAGCGGGTGCGGATGCCAAGCCCAGAATTTCAGAAGGGCGGCCGGTCCGCGCCGTTGACTGCAGCATTGCGATTGCGACTTGCGAAGTTGCGATTGAAGGTCCGTCCAGTCTCCAATTCCATCCTGTATCACTACCACCACGGCCACCACCACCACAATGTCCGGAGCTCTAAGAAACGTAGGCCCAACCCATCCCGCAAGTTGATATCGCATAACTAATAGAATTGCGACACGACAGCTCGCCGCAAGGCAATACCAGCGCGCCCTCGGCGAATGGCCCCGCGACGCCCTGCGCCCCGAATGCCAGCTCCAAGACGTCCTCTCCAAGCGTCTGCAGAAGAACAACGGCAGCCTGTTGCCCAATACCACGGCGTTCAACAAGTTGTCGGGCAAGGCCAAGGAGGAGGCGGAGATCAAGCAGGCTAATGCGCTGATTGGGTTGTTGGAGAATAGGTTTAAGAATAAGGTATGTTCGATGGTTCTGTCTGATGGTTCTGTTGGTGGGTGGAGAGAAGAAAGATAGTGGGAAATGGAAGGGACGGAAGGGATGGGAAAGGCGGAAGATATGGTTGGATGGGTGCATGTGACAGGTGCGACAGGTGCTAACCTATGGCCAAAAAACAGTATCGCATCACCGGCGAGATTCTCAAGCCCAAGAGCAACCCCAAGTACTATTCCGATCTGGTCAAGGAGCTCGAGGAGGCGCCCAACAGAACCTTCTTCGGCAGGATGGCCAAGAGACTGGGAGGTATCATTCGCTTCCAGTCGTAAGCCAGAGGCAGCAACGAGAAGAGACGGAGAGATACCACGGGAGTGCGAACCTATCCCAAAAATCTTATATATACAGCAAGAAACGAAAAAAAAAAAAAAAAAAAAAAGCCACAAACCAGTGAGAGGGTACAAAAAAAAAAAAAAAAAAAAAAGGAGTGTAGGATTACTTCTGTACAAATACCGAATTGCATGTGTGGTTAGGTGGTTCATGGGCAGGCGTCAGGAGTCTGGGGATAACCAAAACAGAAATGGCGTGGTACATACAATGGGCTGGAGCAAAGACTCCTTACGAGGGGTCACAATAGCACTTACCGGACAGAAAGGGAAGGTTTAAAAATCTGTCTGTAAATGTTGAAGTATATACCTGTGCCAAATCGTATATACAAACTTTTGTCTACCTGGGTGTGCCCTTACGGCGTTCGTTCTGTTGTCGCTGGTCTCGTGGAATTCGTCTGTCCATCTTTCTCTCCTTCTTCTGCTTCCGGTCCATCTCTTGTAGTTGTCCCGTTATCTTCCTTCGCCCATCATGTGTGAAAAGACGCCTCAACGCCGTCGCTCGTGAAATCCCCCTTAAATGTACTGCCTCTCGGGGTCGAACCTGTCAAACAGCTCCATGCTCTTCTCGTACATCGTAAACACAATACCACCGCTCATAATCAGTCTCGCCAACCTTGGTAGCGCACCGCTCCAGAAAGTGAAAACGCCCTCCTGCTTGAAGATAATGCTGGCACACCTGAACGAGTTGCCGTAAAGCTGCTTGGCCTCAATACTCTGCATTCTCGTCTTGATCGTATCCAACGGCTGAGTGACGTAGACGGTAATCAGGCCAGCGATACCGCCCATGGCGAAGGTTCCGACAGCACCGAGCTTCTCCCCGGGCGCAGTGTAGCTCTCCGCGAGCTGCTTCAGAGCGGTGTAGGATCCGAAACGGGTCGCGCTATTGGCGGCTTGCCGCGCAGTGGTGGGCACGAAACCTTGGAAGAAACCGCGGATGCCGCGCTCGCGGGCGATGATGGGAACGGCGTGGAGGAAGCCGCGAAGACGAGGCTTGGCGGACTTGCGGTCGTCGATCCTGTTGACAGTTTTCGGTCAGCGACTGGCCATAAGCAACGAGTTTGGAGGTGGAGCTTGGGTCATGGGTACCCCGGCCAGAAGGAGCTACAGCTGGGGACCTGGAATGGAGCTCTGACGAGTGACTCGACTTACAGCGTGGTCTTGATGCTCTCGGTTGGCGTCACCGCCAGCAGTGACTCAGTCACACCAGCACCAAAACCGGCGAGGACGGTCATCGGCCCGGACATCTTGCCGTCGGGACCGGAGAGGAGCTTCTTGTACTGGTCAAATGCGACGAATCCTGTCCCACGTCTTGTTTAGTGCTTGTTCTTGTTTTCGTTCTCCTTGATACGTCTGGGAAACCGTACGAATGCCCGCCTTGGCCGAGTTGCCGATAATCAGAGTCGTGCAGCCGGCATACCACTGCTTGCCAAAGGGCGGCCATGGGAGCTTCTGGCCCTCGGCTAACCTGCGGTTGAGCTGGGTGCGAGTCTTGGCGACTGTCGCGAAGAGTTAACAAATGGGTGTCTGTCGCGATGGAGTAGTAGTCGTCGGGGCGCCGGTTACGTACACTCTGCAGGATATGTGATGGCTGTTTGTTGGTTGTTAGCGCTATGCGATTGCGAAAACCGCCTTGGTGTTGCTGGCAGTGAGTGACGGATGTAGCAGGGCAAGCAAGACTCACCAATCTCGACGGCGCCAGCGGTTGAACCAGCGAGAATGGAACGGAGGGCACTGGGACCCTTGAGCGCCGGGTGCTGGTTATCGTCCTTGGTGGCGGTAGACGACATTTTGGCGGTGGAACAGACAGACGACAATTGTAGAAGACACGGGAAAATGGACTGAAATTGGACGAAACAAAGTAGGGGAATAATTCAATCGGAAAGTTGAATTGGCAATTGCATTTGACAATGACGCCGTTGCTCCGATTGCGGGGGCCCCCATGCGTCCCCGTCTGCAGTGGATGGCTTCTCCACTTTTTCGTCTCTCTCGCTGTTTGGATGCCAAGACCATAACGAGAACCTCAAGAACTCTTTTTTTTCCTCTTCATCTTTTCACCAACAACATCCACTGGTCGGCGTCTCGACGACATGGCCATACATACCACCCGCCTCGGGACGAATGCCAGATTTTACATTCTTGACCTGCAAGACATCGCTCACACTATGTCTATGGACGACTCGCAGTATATCAACTCTGTGCAACCCACATGGCAACGTCCCTTTCTTGTCTAAATGGCGTCTTCTCTGTCTGGCATTCTTTCTAAGGGATGACACCTGAAATCGCGATACCTTATTCGAACACCAAGGATGCAATCATTTTTCGCGTTAGCCGAGAAGTCTTGGACTCGTGCTTCCTATCCAAATCAGTCAACATACATACCGACCGGCCAGTGGTGGTCGTCAAGTGTCGATGCCACGCTGAAGCCACAATGCTGTCGGATTGGCAGACGGCATAGCTGCTGCTTCAATGCCTGGCCGGTCAGGCTGCCTTGAATTCAACAACTACGAAACAAACGCTTACTGGCGGTGCCGTTTGCTCTTTTAATGCAGTGGGCCTCGGTGCGTGATGGGCGCCTGATCATGATGGTTAGGCCTCGAGTGTGTTGGCCTGGAGGTGATTTCAATGTTCGGTTCGCCTTCGCCAGATAACTCTCCCGAGTTTTGTGAGGCATCTCTAAATCACTTATTTTCTCACAGTTTGTGCTACTGCTTACTCCCTAGGATACATCATGGGAGCTTCAGACGACAGTCCCCTGGGTACTTCGGTCTGCTGGGCCGTGTCACCACTTCCGGTACCTCACAAAGACCTTCCATCCAGACTTTGGCACGTTCAACATAGACACTCGCAATCCGTTGTGAACCACAACGGCGGTTTTACAGCTGCAAGCGGATACCAAAGTATAAGAGACGAACATGATCTCAAGCTGCAGGCAATCAGACATTTCAACTGGGATACACATCTTTACGACGAAACTCTGGGTTGGCAATCGTGTTTCATCTCGGCGTTCGGAGACAGCCGCCACGCCAAGAAATGGGGGAAGCGGCGTGTCGGGCAAGTTACAATATACGAGATCGACGTGGCCAAGCTACCCTCTTCAACTGTCATCTTCGACGCCGTCAAGCTTTGCGGTGATCTTGCAATAGCTCATCCGTGGGCCAAGAATGAGTTTATATTCTTACATGAGATTCCGGGGGAGTGTGTCGGCCATGGCTTTGATCTCATCGGTGGTCAATACTACTGGCAACCGAAGTGGCCTATTACATATAGTCCTAGTGAGTTACAAAGATCCCTTCTGCTTGTCTTTGAGATGAGCAACCAAGCTAATTCCATCACCTTACAGGTCCATATATGCCGTTTGGATTTCCCGTGCTGGGAACAGGTTCATATACGCCATTTGGATCACCAATGCTGGGAACTGTGCCCATGGGATACCCAACACCCCAATTCCATCACCTTATAGGTCCATATATGCCACTTGGGTTTCCTACTCTGGGAACTTGGCCACTCACATACCCAGCATCCCAGTACTGTCATGGAAGCGGAGGCCTGTACAGCCAGTCCGCTCCATACCGGCCCGTGGAATCAGCGAACACCAAAGACGCTATAGACAGTTTGATCGAGGGCTTTACTGACGCTTTACGCATCAACAATTCCACTCATACTTTGAGGAGCAATACATTCAACATCCGGCGGGAAGGGTGATTTGTGTACATCACCTTCTGATCAGTTCAAGTAAACCCTTGTATCTGTGGACGTCACCGGAACTTTTCCTTCTCGGTGTTCCTGGACAGCTGTCTGCTGCCTGTTATTTTTCCCTTTTTTTTTTCGTTTAGTTCTCCTTTTGTTCTTTTTTCTTTCTTGTCTTTTCTATCTTTCTCTTTGGCATTACCACTTCACTGAAGTTATCGTATCGTATCAATCCATTTGACGTTGCGCAAATACCACGCTGCACTTGTCCCTTCTCAGTCTCTTCTCCAACACCACATTGGCAGACCAAAACGTCCAATCGCTGTCCACCCCGCAATCTCAGCTGCGCAGCCATCAACACATCAACACTCCCC